TATTTTAAAAATTTTTTCGATTTTTTGTTGTGTATAGCTATCGTTACTTTATGAATTCTATATATATATTTGATTCCTTAGGCTTGGAAGAGTTGTCGGTAGCCCTCCCCATTAAAGTAGCTTCTTTTTTTATTCATTTGTTTCTCACATTTTTTAATGTGTATAATAATTTTTTTTTTTTTTTTACATATTTAACCGCTTTATTTGTTAGACTGCGACAGGTTTTACTCAACTATGCCAAAAAATTTGTTTATACGTAGATAAAATTTACAGATTTATGTTTGTCTGACTTTTTATTACTTTATTTTTGATGTATATCAAGAAGAAACGACTTGTCGGCGGAAAAAGTTAAGTACGATAGAAGGCGCACCGTTTCCAAGAAACGTGGTGAAAGAATGTGATATATATGTACGTATAGTTATTATATATGTATGGATTTATAATTTTTATATATAAAGAAACTTTGTAAACTTGGCGAACTCGTGAAAAAGCAACGCTTCGATATCGACTCACTGAAATCCTTCGTAGTAGTAAATATCAGAGATAATTGAAAAGTTGAAAAATCGAAATTTAAAATGACGTAAATTACCCGTACTTTTTGTCAGATATTTAGTTTGCATTGATTGATAAAAATAATGTTAATATTATAACCTTTTTTTTCATACATTTGTAAGTTTGCTTTTTTTGAATGTTTTTTTTCTAATGAATCCTTGAAAAGTACGTTTTCCACACAGTGCGAGAAAAAGTTCGGAAATTGAAGTTTCTCGTATTAACCCTTTAAAAAAGTTTTAACTCGCCGTATTCCTAGCACACGAAAGTTTTAGTTTTTTTTTCTCTGTACCCCCACTTTATTAAGAATTCATTAAGAACTGCACAGCGCCGAAACTATAAAACTAAACAGGTTACTAAAATCTACGTACAGGTATACACAATACGGAGTGAAGGTGCAATATATATATATATTTTTTTTTTCCTTCTTTCTACTCGAGTAAAATATTGGGCGGATACGACACTAATGATCTAAGGCCTCGCTCATGAACTATCATTAAAAGTAATAGTTAGTTATTTTCTACGCGATTTTTAGTCCCAGACATCCGAATCAGAAAATCAACGTCAAACAAGAGAGCACGTGCCGTCCGCGATGGCAATTAACTTCGACACGCCCTCTTGTTTCGATCAAATTTATACATTCGCAACGACTCTGTTGAAATATTTTCTCCTCTTGCCCAACGATCCCCCAAAACAATTCCGATTCTCAGCTTGATGTATTATATAATCTTGTGATTTATCAGTCCAAAAAGCTGCACCCTTCGTCGAAAGACAGCTTTCCCAGTCGCATATTCGATTTTTAATATTAATGTATGTATATGTACGTACGATAAAACTCCGCATTTGTGCACACAATCCTATCTCGCTTTTTTTTTTTTTTTTCTTTTTTTTTTTTTTTTTTTTTTCCGCCAATAACCCATGACGCGTGCCATTAGGTAATTCCACACCGTCGGCTCAAGTTTCAAGTGTCCCCTTCACGGTTGGCGTACAAGTATCGTAAGGCGAAATATCAAAACGATCCCGAAGAAGACAATCTGCCCGAGCTGGCGGTGTCAGCGATCAAAGTGTCACCCAAAAAAAAAAAAAAAAAAAAAATCATCTCCCGCATAGCTGCGCAACCATTTACAACTTTCCGTATTTCCCACCGCAGATATATACCCATCTCAGCCCATCATATCTATAATATGTATACTACGCATATATATATGTAATAATGTTTCATCGTGTTACATTACACCCTATACAATAGCAAAGTATAACAAACGGACCCGAAGCTCCCCCCCCCCCAAACGGCGTCCAACTTTTTTTTATCACCCCCCGTCACCCTCTTTTATATTATATATATACCATCCGCAAAGTCAATCCTAGCTATATATATATATTATACAGGGCGCTTTTCCCATCCTCCCCTACTGTACACACTTACTATAGCCCCTCTGTACAGGCCCTTCTGGCGCGTCTCACTTAAACTATCAGATTCTTCTAAAAAGTGACCTAGAAATCATCTGATATTGCTTATCTTTTTGTTTATGTATATGCATGTAATATACTGTGACGTTTTTGTTTTGTTTCTGCTCTCGATATATTGTTATGCGTGACACTGTCGATGGCCTGCATCACAGCCAGCGGCGTAGATATAGATAGATTAAAAAAAACACCGGGAAAGCCCCTCAGAGGCTCGCGGTTACGAGAACGGGTGGTCGTCCGCGGGTGTACATATTATATAATACAACACAACATTTGCGACGCGATGGTTGATCATCTAGTGGCGGCGAGCCGGTCGGGCAGCCGCGGGCGGTCAGGGCGGGTGGAGTTCAAAGTGGTGGGCCCGGGCGGTGAGGATGGCCTTGAGCTCGGACTCGAGTTTCTTCTTGTCGCGTTGGTTGGTGGCCTGGCCGCCGAGGACCGACTGGAGGGCCGAGCACTCGCCGAACCCGCTGCTCGTCTCCTTGTTCTCGTGGCTGCGGGCTCGCCTCATCGGCACCGGGGCTTGCTCCTCCGAGGGCTGGTGCAGGCTCTTTTTGCGACGCGGCGCTGGCTCCTCCTTTGGCCGGCGTTGCTGCTCGTAGAGCCCACGGCCGCTCGAGGTAGAGCTTATGGCTTCCGACGACCGGCTGAGGTCTATCCCCGAGCCCCACTCGCGCGACAACTTGCGGCCTATCGCCGAGGTCATTTCGGTGCTGATTGGCGACAACAGCGGACTCTTCACCTGCGGCGAGCCAAAATGAGCAATTAAATATAGGCCTGCGGGCTCAAAGTATACAACACCGTGAATCCAAGTTGCTAGATTAATTACGCGCCTTGATATTTTTGCTAGGCTAATTATTCCATCGCTATAAAATACATACTTTGATTTGTCCATAGAAATAAATGGTGCGATATTATAAATGCACTCAAAATAAAATCGGGTTTAGCTTTTTCTACGAAATTTTGGTGGAGAGTACTGATACGAGCAGTGAGAAAATACATTTTCCCGCCCAAACGAAGCATTATGGACCGAGAGTGCTGTAAATTGTACCTTCATCTGTATGTGCCTATAAATACACATGTATCACAAATATTGCTTGTTATGCCGCAGTGACAATGTCACACGAAACTCCTAATAATAATTTTTATTGTTTGCAACAGTATTTTTATCGTAAGTATTGTTATCGAAATTACTGTCGAGGATGATAAAAATTAGGTTGGCAAAAGTAAAAAGTTCCTAGACGGCGAAATGGCACAAAATGGCTATTCTGGCATAATTTTTTTTTTTTTTTTTTTTTTTCTCAGTACTTCCATAAAGTTGTACCTCAAAGTATGGAAGCAAATCGATAAGATCACCTCTGTCTGAGACACTTGGATCCACAGTGAAGCCGAAACGACATTTTATACACGCGTAGAAAAAAAAAAAAAAAAAAAAAAAAAAAAAAAAAAAAAAAAAATGTCTCGCCTGGTAGTGCTGCTGCCCGGAGCTCGAGGGCATCCTCAGCGTGGCAAAGGCCGGGAAAGACTGGCCCCTCTTCGTCGGGCTGCGGTGCTGCTTGGGCGTAGGCGCCGCGGACGGCCCAGCGATCGTCTCGCCCCTCGGCAAAGGCCTAGGCGTACCCACCGCACCAACCGAGGCCCCAAAACTCACCGACGTCCCCCCCCAACCAGGCCCGAGTTTCGGAGTCGGCGGAGGCGACGCGCCACCGTCCCCGTGACTCAGCCGCCTGCCCACCAACTCCAGGGGACTCCGGGCCCTCAGGTTCGAGCTGCTGAGGGTGAAGTCGCGCGGCTTGGCCCCCATGCCGCTGTTGCCCGGCTCGAGGCTCACCGGCATCAAGTTGCTCGAGCTCCGGCTCCTCTCTCCTTGGCCCCCGCCCATCGGACTTTTACTCCGGCTACGAGCGCCATGAGACCTCTCGGCTGCCGCCAGCTCCTTCCGAATGGCACCGCGAGCCGCCGCCTCGGCCTTCTCTTCCTGCTGCACTCTGTAATTTCGCGAGCGGTCATCGCGCGCTTTATCAATAAGCTGCCGCGATCTACGGGACGGCCGGTTGTTGTTGCAAATCAAACGTTTAATGTGAACAAAACAATAATCATATATATATATATATGTATATATGTATGGCGTTTTATCTCAAACAAAAGAAGCCGGTGTTATGTTTAATGGTGGTACATATATATAGAGGTGCTGTAGGTGTTTCCATTTTTCATTTTGGAACGAGAAAAAAGCGGTCGTTGTTTTTGTCTACGTATAGCATACATAATAATATGGTAGCATGTTGCTAATAATAAACGAATAAGTATGAAATGTATATTGTATATGTAAGGTATAATACGTATGTGTGTATAAATATGGTTGTACAAAGGGTTGGGCTAGGGGGGGGGGGTAATTTCGTCTTACTGACCTTCGTATTTCCTGGATCATCTCAAAGAACTGCGCTTTGCTTTTACGTCTGCGACGCTGTTCGTGTTCCTTCTGGAACAAATCAGACTTACGTACTTTGTTCAAATTGTATTCTACATTGTGTTACGAGGGGGCACATCTTCATTTTTTTCACAAATTTCACATTATACACGTTTCGGCAAGTCATATACTTTTATGATAATTATACAAGTAACAATTAACATTAATATATGGATCGTCATACGGTAAAATAATTTACATAATCATCACCAGACATCGAGATTAATTGCAAAAATTCCAGACAAAGCATCCATGATACGTATACATCGATAGAGTGTCTTTGATGTTGGAAACCAGTTGTAATCGAAAAAAAAAAACATATGCATCGTCGCTGTATAATCACTTACATTGAACGTAGGTATACATATATAGTTATAAAAATCGTGAAAAATGTATAGTGTATAATCACAATTTGCATAAAGGGAGGGATTTTGTTTGTGTAAGTTGAGCTCTGTAACGCTTTGTGTTTTATGAGGTTTCGTGTATATATATATACCAAGTCGAATTTTGAGAGTTTTTATGACAAACGAGTCGAGTGCATCTCTACAATGCTGCTCCTCCCGATACGAATTCTCAATAGGAGAAACTCATGCAAACATAATATATCATCACGGCCATGTATGGGTCGAAAGGTAATCGCTTTGATAATTATAGTACATATTGTACATAATATGGTAATATAATCGATTATGTTTCCTCGTTTCAACGTTAACCGATAAAGTAAGTAACGCTACCACGCGAGCCCATGGACCTCTCTAAAAACTATTTTTTCAATAAACAAAAAAATCACTCAAAATTTATCGGCAAATAAACGCTATAGTCCGACTCGATTGCCTTTCGACCATTTTTCAGTGAGAGCCAATGAAAGTGTAACGTAAACAACGCAAGAACGAGAAAAAAAAAAAAAAAGGAAAAGGAAAGTAGCGAAAAAACACAAGGCGTCAAGCGCTCGAGCCGCACACGCATCAACACAACGAGAATACAATGGCAAAATATATATATATACATGTACACAGAGAGCAGTTGTAACGGAAGCTCGCTTACCCTCTTGACGCTCTTCTGGAAGAGCGAGGTGATCTGTCCCTGCCTGACGGTGTGTACGAGTTCGCGGGCCGCGTGGTGCGGCGACACGAGTTCCACGCAATTGATGAACCTGTAGAGCTTCTGGGAGAAAAACATGACGTTCCGGCTGCGCCACATGGAGTTCTGCGGGCACTGGCGCAACTTGGGCAGGCTGTACTTGTAAAATATGTGCTCGCCGATGAGGATGATGATGCCCAGGGTCATGCCGAGGCCAAGAAGGCAAAAGACCCCGGCCACTGAGGCCACGCCCAGCGGTCGGGGCTGACCTTCCTGCCGCGGCTGACCGTCGAACCCGATGCCCGAGGCTACGCCCCGCATACACGGCAGACCCCCGTACCTGCGCAACAACACTTTTTTGTTTTAGCCCAACGAGACCTGTACGTTGAAATACGAATAGTTATATGTATATATATTATGTGTCGTCGCGACAACGATCATCACCATTTCTCTTGTAGAATGTCGAGGAGGCCGGTGCTCGTGTAGTTGGCGATGACCTTGGATATGCTCTCCCTCATGGGGTGGCCCTTGGAGAGGCCGACCGCGTACGTGTCCTCCTTGATGGAGTCGCCGATTTTCTCGAGCCGGCAGCCGTTGTCGGTGAGCCGGTAGTAGTCGATGATGGGCGTGTCGGCAATCAATATGTCGACGCTGCCGTTCAACAATCGCTCGACCCCGTCCTCGACGTCGGCGACCGAGTACCGCGACATGTACGACCAGAGTCGCGGGTTCGCCTGTTGCACGTAGTACTCGGCCGCCGAGGCCTTTGGCGCCGACACCTTTTGCAGCAGCAGCTGCGAGGAAATTTCATCCGTTGCTCGAACATTGCGACACAACTCATTTTGGCTTTGGGCACGAATATTTTTTTGTACGAATAGTTTTTTTTTTTTTTTTTTTTGTTTTTCTAGTCGCTATTTGCAATACAATTTTAGGAGGAAAAAAATCTCGTTTGGACGATTTATGGTTTATGTGCGTAATTCCACACTTTTAAGTGCAGTGTATTTATCGTTTACACGCTTACAATTTGTCCGAAACAACGTGTGTTTTTTAAATGTGTAAAAAATAAATACACATACATATTGCATTTTTTGATATTTCACTCTTTTTTTTTTTTTTTTTTTTTTTTCTTTTCAATGAGCAATGCAGTATTCTTGTTGGAAAAATTAAGGTTTTAGTACAAACTGCACAAGTATCCGTGCCCAAGTCCAAATACACGTAGAGACACGAGGAGGTAGGAAAAGCTGAAACTCACGCTCCTGTCGTAGTAGTTGTTGACGGTCGAGTGGAAGAAGAGTCCGGCAATGAGGGCGGCTATGTTGGCGGTGTACGAGGCGACAAAGATGACGGAGAAGCCACCCCAGACGTTGATGAGGAACTTGTTGGGCCAAGATTTGGGGGCCTTGAAGGCGACGAGGTGGCCGCAGAGCAGGCCCCAGGTGACCCACAGGGCCGAGGCTATGCTAAAGTTCTTGCTGCGCTGCCTGCCCCACGGGTTGAGCCCAAAGGGGGAGAACCACTCGTAGGCGGCGACGAACATCGCGGTGATGTTGAGCGAGGTGAACACGGCGATCCAGAGCTCGGGACTGAAGGGCTGGAGGAACGCGAGGAGGGATATCTCGTGGCGCTCCTTGGGCGCTATGAGGAAGCTCACGCTGCTGAAGTAGTAGGGCGTCGTGAAGTCGACCACCTGCGACCGGTGCGAGTAGACGCTCAGCGGGGCAAAGGCCAGTTGGGCCTTGCCCGTCAGCAGCTCGCCTATGACGCCGTTCCACGTGCCGTTGCGCCCACGCCGACGACCAAACAGCCCGTCCTTCGCCACGTGCAGGTCGAACCGGAACTCGAGATCCTGCCCATCAGAGATTGTTTCATACGAGCGTTTATTGTGTTCGATAACACGATTTTAATTTTTTTTTTTATTTTTTCACAATTCGTGAGTGTTGAAATAATTTGTACTCTTTGGCGCGATAAGTTTTTTTCATCATCCAAAACCTTCTGTCAAAGTTGAGATTTTTTTCCCCGTGTCACCCTAGAGTATTAAGTAAGTACGCCCGGAATGAAGAGATAGAAGAAGAAGAAAAGAGCGCTTCTTCACTATAATAACTGCAGGTGTATAGGGACTAAAGAGCAAGAATCTTCTTAGCTCGGAGCAAGTTCGATGCTGTTCTCGTTTCATCGGAAATCCGATGTCAAATCAGGTATAATTAAATCATAGTCGAAACGACCGGAGTCGAAATTACTGTCGGAAATCCTTACAATATAACCCAGTAAAATGACAGACTCTATAAAGTTTTGCACGAAGCGAATGCCAATCAACTTGACGAAGAAAAAAAAAAAAAAAAAAAAAAACACATATTGTACGCTTCTACAATGTATATAATGTATGATTATTTTTGCCTTACGTTATTATGAAAACACACCCCCGGACTCTCTAAAGACGTTCACAGTTATAAGAAATTCCTATGACACATTTTGTTTTTGAATAAACAAAAAAGAAAGTATACCTATTTGATTTGGTAGTAAATCGTTTCTACAGTTTTGCCTGCTTTTATTTATTTTTCTTTAACTTGAAAGTATCTATACCCAATTTGGAACGTTCGCGTCTTACGTGCAACATCGGCATCGGCATTCAAGCATCGGCTTAGGGCTACTTTCGAAGACTTTAACGAGTTTTTTAACTACATTTAATATTAAATGAGTTTTTACTGCAATTCAGCTATTGATCCTACTACTGTGAAAGTCCTGCTGGTATAGTCATCAAAAGTCATTGAAAGAAAGCAAAATTGAATGTATCATGAAAGTGACCTTTGAAATGCACCCAAAAGTCCATCTGTTATTTTTCTCACTTCCGTACCAAAGACTATCTCGATCGATCTAAATGTACAACCCAATAGTAACAGCACGCGGTGACAATAAACATGTAAATAATCACAAGCGCACCCACCTGGGACACATGGTAGAGCAGGTCCATGGAGTAGCCGTAGCAGCACTTGACGGCACCCCCGTGTTTGCAGATGAGCCCGCGGAGGCAGGCGCCCTCCTGGAGATTCGTCACCATGGCGAAGGGGGGCGCGAGCGCCGTCACTATCTTGTACGAGGGCATGCCGATTTTTTCCCTGCCCTCCTCGACGTACGCCGGTACTATGCCTCCCCCGGGCCACACTATCGTGTCCAATCTCACCTCCCTGCCGCCCCTCACCAACCCAACTTTCGTCCACCTGCGCAATCGAGTTGGGGTTTTTTTTTTTAATTACAAAAAAATTCACACCTATAGTTGTACTGTGTGGTTTTTCCACTTTTTTTTTCTACTATGTTGCAAAGTGTAAATTTATAACTTTGAGGGACACAGTATATAATTATACATAAACATCGGGGGGAAAAAAAAAAAGATATCCATATGTATATATTTATACACAAAATACAAAGAACATCAAAGATAGTTGTATGATATTGACAAGGAGCGATGCGAGAGTATGGGGTTATTGGGGCACATTCGACTAAAATTGACAGAGAAAAGGAAACATCGAGGCAATTGAATGTGTTTTCCACAAATACGTATAAACATCACCTCAGCATCAACTCTGTGCCGTTTGTATCCTCCTGGCTGATGGTGCGAGGAAAGAAAGAACAAATAAAAACTTTGAATCTCCCGCGCAGAAAAAAAAAAAAAAAAAAAAAAAAGAGAGAGACAGCCGAAAGTAAACGTCACCATATATACATGGATCGACGACACGGGTTGCGGAAGCAGCAAATTCGTAACAGGGTTTTCCCAGCCGAACGAGCTGCCTCCCCCGTACCGAGTAGCCGTTGGAGTATGGAGCTCACCTGAGTTGGGTCTTGTTGCCAGGGTAGAGCACAGCCTGTAGGTTGAGCAGGTGAAACTCGGCGGCGTCGCGGGACACGCGCCTCGCGTTCTCGCGGAGCCGCCTCGTGATGGCTGCCGAGACGTTGGGGCGCACCTCGTTCCCCAAGAAACCCGTGCGCCGCGCCGCGAGGCACTCCGGCACGAACAGCTCCCTGAGCTGGGGCTCGGCTAGCCTCGCGTGCCGCGGCCGCGTCTCCACCATCGCCCGGTCCACCGCCTGGGCCGCCTCGCGCAACCCCCGCTCCAACAGCCCGTCCTTGCCGGTGAGTCGCGGGTTGGCCGGGCGCAGCGCCAGCATACCCAGGGGCATGAAGCTCTTGGAGTTGACGCCTCTGTCGTAGCCCTCGTCGTCCTCCTCTACGCTGGCAGGTGGTGGCATCTCCCGCTTTTTCGGCTTCCGATCTGCCAATCAAGATTTTTCTCTTCCACATCTCTCTCTCTCTCCCGAAGGGATTTCCGGTGGGGAGTTTGCAACTTTTAACGCGTGATCGCGAGAATACGTATATATGTATATACTTGTTCCCTCCGAGAGAGAGAGAGAAAAAAAGGCGGGGGGGGAAGGGAGAAACAAACAAAGTTGGCCGAGTTTAAACAAGAGTAGTTGTTGTTCTTCTTTCCGAAAAGCTCCCGTAGGCAGCTATTACGTTTCATTGCGTTCCGCGGCTGAATTTTTCACTCCCCGTACAACACCTGACAACACTCGAGGATATGCGGCTCATTATACATACATACACACCCGTGGTGATTTATACGGTTTCGTTGCATACGTAATCTCTTTTTTTCCTCTTTCTACATTTTTCGTATATGCAACAACTCGACCCTTCCTCTCGTGTACTTGCAAAAAACTCACCCTTGAGGTCGGCGTGCCAGTGGTGCTGGGGCTGTTGTTCCTGGAGCCTGTGCATCTCACTCGCGAGGTTCGACAGCGTGTGGAAGCTCAGGTCGTCGGCGTCCGGGGCGAGGTTCGGCCCGAACTCCTGGCTGTCGAGGGCGCCCGGTATGTGGTCGCTCGTCACCGATACCCGGGCGTTCTGCAGCACGTGCGTGCCGATGATGTTCGGCTCGTTCGACCTAAACGAAAAAATAATGGAAATACAATGGAAATTCCACATGGCGATACAATCGTAATGTTATATAGGCACGGCGCTACGTGTTATCTCCCCCCAAAAGCTCGAGGGATTTGCCTCTTCTTTTTGTTTTCCGAGGAAAAAAAAAACACGCGAGGGAGAATGAATCATTTCTCCCTTCCCCCCCGGGGTAGCGTATTTTTTTTTGTTTTACGAGCTCGGGTCTACGAGGGAGAAATTGACTTTTGCGGTGTGCTGTACTCCTGGCGCTGACGCATCGGATCTTCCATTACAGCCGGTTTTATCGGAACGGCATATCTCGTAATTTACCGGCATCTCCGTCGTTGCCCGCCAATCGGAAAATTTTACGATCCACCGAAATCTTGTACAACCATATATTTTATACATCGTACCAACATCCTTCGCGTGCACGCATACGAATTCTCGTTATTATCTCCACCGCGCCATATACATGTATTATTAATAAAGCGAGTGCATCATCTAAACTAATGATCGTATAAATTTTTTCTCCACCATAATTGCAAATCCCAAAACTTTGAGCGATTAAATACATGTATACGCACGCACGTCCCGCGAGTACTAACGTATCGGCGAATAAATCAATCAGCCGGGATGCGCCGCGGACCAAACTTTGAAACTCCCAAGCGCTACATGCTGCACGTATATATGTATATTTATACCCGCGAAAACAATAGCCGTTCCAACTTTGGATGGAAATTGCGTGGAATATTAAACTATATGGGATCGTAAGGAGAAAAGAATGAAAAATCACTCAATCCCGAGCCATGCTGTGCAGCGTGGCAATCCAAAGACACCGCTAATCACCGCCGCGTCGACTCGACGTATATAGGCAAACACGGAGGAGCCGTGCGGTGTACCGCGTCCTTGGCTCCCCCGGTGCGCGTATATACATAATTATATATATATGTTTGAAGGAAACTTTGAAGCAAAGACAGGGGTGGTGTACTCACCTGAGCTCGGCTTTGAGGTCGAGCCACAGCCAGAGGAACCTGCCGGCGAGCATGTCGAGCTTGTTGGCGAGGCCGATGACCTTGCGGGCGTTGGCGAGGTCGCAGCCGAGGACGATGACGCTGCCCCGGCCGTTTTCCTCGGCGACGCGCCTCAGCCGGGCGTTGAGGCTCCGCTCGTCCGTGGGCAGGTAGATGATGGAGCGGGGCACGAGGTGGTTGCCGCTACCGGTTTCCCGGGTCTCGCCCCCCGGGCGCATCTTCTCCTGGACGTCGGGCACGAGGTCGCGGACCGGCAGGAGGCTTGGGTCCACCAGCAGGGTGAACGCGTGCCAGTGGGCCTTGTGCATCAGGGCCGAGGCCGCTGCGCCCATTTCCTCGGAACTCGTGCCCACGCGGCTCTCGTACTCGCTCGGACGACCCTGTCCATTCAACGCATGTGTGTGTATATGGCATACGCCACGGGGGCTACAGATAAACCATACGTGACCCCGTCTGTTTTGTTTTTTCCCCCCTTTGGCCCAAGGATGTGCGATATAATTTTAATTTTTTTTATTATTATTATTATTATATACCTTGTACAATTGTTTCACCTTCGATTTTGGCACAACGTGGCCATTTGATCTTTGTACGTTGATCAATGTGTTTGCGTAAAAAAATTGGTTAACCCAACCAAAATTTGGATGAGCGTTGGACGATTGAGTTTATTGGTCGATCCAACCATAAAATATGATTACTGTATAACCAACTACGAAAATACTCAGCGCAAACCAAATTTTTTTTCCCGTGCGGATACATTTATCATCGTCGCCGACCCTCCCTTTCATCTCCTGGTTATTATTTTGTTAATTTTACAATTTAACCGCGTAAACAACTCGTAACGAATGCTTACGTATACGAGTAAAAAACGAGTGCATTGGGAAAACAAATAAGTCAGAAACGCCGCGCGAACAATGGCTAAATATTAATCGTCGGAAGCTCAATTTGACTGGCGTCTGGAAAATTAGAGCAAAGCCCGCCGCGCGCGTCTCCCCCCCGGATGAGCCACGTTTCACTCGCCGAGCTATTTTTTTTTTTGTTTTTTTTGTTTTGTTTGTTTCCCCTTCCCTCGTGCAATCGTATAAATTCCCTGCCGCGTGTATATGGGCCATACTGTGTGTGTATTATATAACATGGGTAAAAAGCTACTCGCGAAATACCTCGCGGCTAATGCACATCTAGGGGCTGAAAGAGCCAACCAGTGCTAATAGTACTCGTACGCCAGTGCCAAAAAAAGTCTCGTTCGACCCTTCTCTCGTATCCACCGGGGACATTTTTGGCCGTGCGTGCAGAGAACACACATATACGATTTAATAACACCGCGTAGACCTCCCGAAAAAAAAAAATCGGTGCCCCCCAAACTAATAGCAATCACGTCACGTATTCGTATATACAATCATCGACCAATGTCGCAAAAAATTTGGATTCATTGAAAGTAAAAAAAAATATATATATACTACTATTCGCTCTCGAGTACACTTGTACACGTGTAATATTCACTCGAAATTTCTTCATAGCTATATCCAATGTATTTACAACGTGTATTACAAGAATCCACACACGTATAATATAAGTATGTATAGGTAGAGAACCCGCGGTACCGCAGTTCGCAAAGCTTACGTAACGCGGGAAGGCCAACTCCCTCCGAGAGAGTAGAAGGGGGAGGCGAGTGGCTTAACGCGTAAGGACATCAGCAAGCCGTGCGGCGCATCCGAAATGAGGGGGAGACACGCGCGAAATCAAGATGTAACGCGGAGATGATCGCTACCTTCTGTCGCTCCTCTCCCTTTTTTTCTGGTAGAGCCGTACCTATATACTGCACACAACTCAATCAATAAACGAGGCCTCAGGCGACAGCTCCTCAATTTTAAGTATATACACTTACTCCCTCACTCTGTACATATATATATATACTGCAAACGGAGTGAAAAGAAATACATGCATCGCTCCCTGTGTATGCATGCGTACCTATGTGTCGAGGTATGCCAGAAAGAGTCGAGGGGGGGGGTGAGTTTCCCTGATTGCAAATCCGATCTTCCTCTGTATCATAACAGCACATTGCGGCAACAGCCACCGTAAACTGTATACGTACGTGTATTATACGTGCTAGTGGCTATCTATTTCAACGTAGATGAACAGACTCCAAACTCATGTTCATCCGGTGGCGTACTGGCCGTCATTTCGGTATACCTACATCTGCTCTCTGCGGAGTGTATCCATCAGAGCCAAGTCGTTTCGAAGGGGTGGGGTCTACTCGTTATACATGTCACATTGTAGCCGATGACGACAGTCTACTCGTATAATCTATAGATTATAGGTACGTACAAGTATACCGGAGGGTTGGGGGGGTAATTCAATAGAGCATGTCAGTAGGACGAGAGCAAAAAAAAAAAAAAGGAAAAAAAACACGCGGATTTGAAATGCAAATGAGGACGAGAGAAACTCGGTGCGGTATAGCTCTGGTTGGTCGGACGGAGGAAAGAAATTTTGCGCGAGGATTTTTCCTTCCGAATGTGTGTGCGGAGCACCTTTTCCACCCATCGCAGCGCAAAGTTATGTATGGAATACTCGGCGCGTCGCAAAGTTCGGAGCCTTCATTGTCACACGGAAGCTTTGCCCCTTTTTTTCCCCTTCCTTAGGCTCGCTACGCGCCCCGCGTCGAAATTTGGTTTTCGTTCCACCCACGCGCACAAACTCCCTCCGCTTGACGGATGCCACTTTGCGGGATTGGGTTATCCGCGCGGACGCGGTTTCCCATCGATTTTGCAAATCACCGGAAATTGGTACCGATTGCTTAGCAGGGGAAGGGCGTATACAATGGCCAATTTTTCGCTGCAAATCCCTCCTCCGGAGAGATATAAACATCTCTCGAGGACTTTTTTCCTCGAGACGCCAAGTGCAGAGCAGCCAAGTATACACACACTGTGCTATGCTGATTCGATTATTCGAGTCGGCTAATTGCCATAGCCCCATCAGCATCGTACACCTACTTGGATACGAGCTAGAGGGTATATACCGGCGTTTCGGGGGGAAAGTTGGCGCCGAGCTGGCGCGGGAGACGAGGAGCCAAGCAAGTTTCGACAACTTAACTACAAGTGCCCAAACACCCCTCCCATATCCCTATATACATACATAGATATTATCTCTGGCTGCATAAGCCTCGTTTATTTACCAATGCGTGCCCGTTGAAAAACAAAAAGAAAAAGTAGCACTCACCAGCCGTATAAAGTCCCTGTGGGACAGGGGTATCCACATGGTGGGCAGTTGCAGGGAGGCGGCCGCGGTCATGAGGAACCTGGCGGCGGAGCCTCCGCCGAGGACGATGGTGAGTATGGTCTTGCCTTGCTTGATGTCGGCGCAGAAGCGATCGAGGAGGGCGGTGGGGTGGGCTTTGGGGCGAGTCTCGCCGGGTTGGGTCGGGTTGGTTGGCAGAGCCCGTGCCTCGACGTAGGCCAGCTCGACGTCGGTGTGAGCCAGTTCCGGGACCGCGAGTTCCCACGCGCGTTGGGCCTCCAAGCGGCTCGGCTGGCTCTGCGCCAATACGACCACGAGGCGCCACGAGCTGCCCCGTTGGCGGCTGTTACTGCTGCCCCCGCTGCTGCTACTGCCGATCTTGGCCGAGCGCGCCTCTTTGGTGTTGTTGTTGTTGTTGTTGTTGTTGTTGCCATCCGAGTTTTCGGCCTGTGGGCATAGGTATTCAGTCTTATTTCTTTACACTTTTTTTTTTTTTTTTTTTTTTTTCCTTTTTTTTTTTTTTTTTTTTTTTTATCCTTTGTGGTGCTACGCGAGTCAAGTTTCGGGGTGACTCTCTAGAGACCAGTGGGTAGAGTACCTCGTTACTACACAAAACACCCGAGTTCGAGACACTACACGGTGAAATGACTCAAATGTTCACGAAAGATTTTATATAACCATCTGTTAACCATTTTTTTTTTTTAATTTATATGTAATTTACGGTTCTCGGTAAAATCCGTGCAGTCTATATGTATATGGGTAATGCGAGATTATTGAACCTGATTATCCATACTTGAGATGTGTATATGTATAATATGAGTTGAGTTGAGTTGAATTTATTTAATCGACAATGGACTCTAGGTCCTACAACGCCGAGGCATAGTATATATATTATAAAAAAAAAAAACATAATGACTGAGCTAATACAATGGCATCAGCCTAACAAAATTCGCATTAATAATATGGGGTGCTTCTATTATCCCGCGCAATGATAAGTATATGTAATGGCCGGGGAATATGAGGGAAAAGGCCCGCACGTATAGGGGCGAGGGGAATGATGATGATGATAATTAATAGGCTCTTATCCCCGAATGAAGGACGCATTAGCCGATCTGTGGATCAGTGAAAATCTCTTAATTATGCTGAACGCGCGAGAATTTATATATGAGTACGCGGTAGTTACCGCGACTATTTACGGCCCCAACCGCACGCATGGACAGCCGAGCTTTTTTGTACCCCTTATTCCCCATCGGACTCACTGTACACGTGATACGTTCTTTTTTTTTTTTTTTTTTCTTTGGTGGAACGGACTGTTGATGCAGCAACTGCAGCTCGGCCAAATGGATTATGTATAATATCGCAGTCGGGACACGTATACAAGGGCGAATCGCCCCTCGTCGCAGTTGCGCTTGTTTTATATGTACCTATGTATATGCATCCCAGGCCGTTTAACTCGAGCGCTATAGGTGATGGTACACGCGACGTTTATACTACCTCTTGTTTACGCCGTACCTATACTGGCACACGAGAGAGAGAGTTGTAATATTGCCCATACCTCCCGCACCAGTATACACGGAGATGAGATTTTCTTTTTCCTGCGAGGACGAATTGATTAGTACGACGATCAGTTCGATAGCCTCGTTTCTAGAGATAAATAAAAACTTGTTTCAATTTACTCGGAGCGAGGGAAAAAAAAAAAAAAAAAAAAGAGGATTTTCGGTTCATCATCCCCTGGCTCCGATTGGACTTTAAAATCGGGATCGCACTTAAAACCGAGCACTCGCTGATCGGCTTATACACCCCGGGTCTTCTTGACACACATTCGTGCGAATCGCGACGCGTAATGTAAGTACAACGTTCCAAAGCGAATGCTTTTACTCCACCAAACCGATGAGGGTAGAAAAAAAAAAAAAAAAAAAAAAAAAATGTTTGCAGCCACACCGTACACATAGAGCAGGACGACGAGACGTGTGTGCATTTGTATGTCCATCCCGAAACAGCCCGCGCGCTCGTCCGCAAGATAAACCCGGACTATCGAGGGCGAGCGGGGGAGTATAATACAAAACACACGTGTGGTATACGCTGCACAGGAGGGAACGGCTCCAGCGCGGTCTTGTCCCTTTGTTCCCACACAGGGGGGGGGGGAGGGTGGATTGCGCCAAGTTTATCTCTGTAAGCGCGCCCGCGCGAAGACAATTAGTGTTTACAGCTCCGCAGTGGCGCGCTGCTATCCGAAGCGAGACACGCGCGCGGGGGGGGAGAGATAAAAAGCTCGAGGAGGGATATTTGAATATTGCTCTACGGACCGCGCGGCGGGTGGGCTTGCGTGGTTATACCTATACATATAATATATACGTTGGGTGCATTCGAAGGAAGAGGGGAATAGGAAAAAAGGAAACGTCGATTCTCGAGCGGCTTTTCCGCTATTCGCGAGCGTACGAGTATTAGAAATCCGAGAGAGAGAGAGAGAGAGATCCGATACTCGGCTGTCACGGGAGGGAGATTTACTGGCTTTATGAACGGCGCGGCAACGCGAGTTTTTATAAAATATATATAAAACTATGATCCCGTACGTGCAACGCGTCCACATGATTATACGGTTAAACGACCGAGGGTGCGTTTGTTATATACTCACGGCTTGGAGACTGTACCGAGGAAACGGTACTTTTGTTTTTACGGAACTCGTTGCTGTTATTCAGGATTTTATTTGCCTATGTAATTAAACAGCTACGGTTTTAGTACCTTGTTCGAATGAAAGTAAATTACATGCAAAAGTTGGAGGGAATATAATACAAGATGCTATACCCGCAATACGTCTTGATGTTAATCAGAGATTTACAAGTATGACTATACGTGTTGCCTATATATACGCAAGTGTTACTCTGTCTGTTTCTATGCTATACCATATATATTACTTAGGCAAGTACTACCTCAGTAAACAATATATTATAGTACTAAGGGCCTCGATTACATGCTGTACTGATGGTCACGGAGGGTATAATAGGACTTTTTGTATATAGGTCTGGTGATAATAATCGTATACAACTCATCTTGGACTTACATTGGATCAAGTAGTAAATTTATGTATCATTTGGTATGCCCTTCAACAATTACTTTTCGAGGTATTATCGATGAACGTGTACGATGCCCAATCGCAGTTTCGCACATGAAGGTAAACTAGCTGTTTAAATTTAAATCAGCCAATTTTTTTTTTTTTTTTTTTTTTTGTACTTGTTGGACAAACAAAATCTTGGATAGCGTATCAAGTTGCGAAATTACCGACCGACCTGCTCGTTTTCTTGGTCTATTACGTAAACGCGCGCTAATTGGCACATATTAGGCATATATATATATATTACGAGCAAAGCTCATACACTCGCGCGCAGCTTCACCTTTTTGCGAAGGAAAAAAAAAATTCGACAGCATTGCGTATCGTTCCATATCTGTTTGCATTGGATTCCCTGGTGGTATATCGACAGAGAGAGAAACGTCCTCGCGAATTAAAGGCTTAACGGAGCTATTGACGCTTTTTTTTTTTCAAGTTTGTTATGGCAATTGCTTTTTGGTGTTTTTTTTTCTACCCAACTAGAAATCTCCGTCATTTCGCGTTGCCTCGACTCAATGCCGCAGCGGATGATGGAATTAATCCTCGAGAAAAGTCGATTCCAGATCTGCACGTCAAATTCCCGGGAGTCGATTCATAGAGCGCCGCCGTGAAATTGAGATTTAAACGGGTCCCCCTCCCTCCCGTATCCTCGACCTCCCATCATCACTAACGTCTCCACTACTTTGCCCCTCGATAAATCACGTTAATGCTAATCAAGGTAAGAGCAACAAACTTACGAGCCCCCCCCCCCTGTGTATTTATGGATCATCGATTCGGCGGATCGGTGTGTATTATTGACTCTACAACCGAGCTTTTATTCTCGTACCTCTGGTCAACAACTCATTATTCCGCGGATGGTGTGCGGAAATAAATTTTCATCGGATGATGACCCATTGAGTTTTATGAGTGCAAACGCTCCAACTTTAAAGTTATATCAGCGGCAAACTCAGCAAAACGAGAAATGTATGTTTACGAGTTACGGGTGGAGGGAGTTTCGAGCTGTAATCGTAAACTGGTGTATACACCGCAATGCAAGTCTGTCCAATCTGAAAGTTTATGTCACCACTATAATATTCATTCCCATGCTGGTGGGCGGAAGGAGTGCGCGCTATGTGTATCAAAATTTCTTTTAAAAAAAAAAAAAAAAGAAAAAAGATACAAGACTCACCTCCGTGGCGCAAGTGATGTGGCCCATCAGGCCCAGCAGAGCGAGGAGCGCGAGCAGCGCGCGCCGAGCTCGCATCTTCCGGGGCCAGTCCTCCGCCTTCACTGCCTCCGCCCAGTCACATCGTCCTCAGCGGCTCGGCAACTGCGTGACATTACACATCACATGGATATACCCTCGGCAACGGTGCGTGTGTTTTTTCGCTCGATTTAACGAGACTTTTTCACCGGCGATAAATTATTCATGATAGATGTGTGTCCCGCCTGAGCCATACTTCACGCGGATTATACATTCGCGTCGAGGCACTGTATTGAGATTGATTGGTTTTTTTTTTTTTTTCTTTTTACCGAGCAGAGGATACACGGTACGATGATTTTGTGTACAACCCGTAAGTTACGAATCGGCGGAAAAAGCTGATGTATGCGTATACTCTCCCTTGCGATGAAAAAAAAAAAAAAAAAAAAAAAGGAATTTTATACACTTTTTTGCGGCTTCGGATAAAAATTTCATATCGCAAAAAGCGCGGGGCTTTACGAGTATTGGACGACGGAAGCGGAATTCATTACTCGAAAGGGTGTCCCCTCGGAAGGATCGATATTTAAACTCCTACCTTTCGCGAGTCCGCGTTACAATCGATTGCTTTACGACTTTGGTCGCTTTCGTACAAAATTTCCCTCTAATCGCGCGGACCGAGTTTAATTATCTCTCGCAACGCCGGCATACGCGGCTCGTTTGCAACTCGTTTAGCTCGACAGCGAGAGTTTTGAATGGGCCATTGGATGCGAAACAACAAAAAAAAAAAAAAAATGAAAATTAAAGTTGAATACATCGCGGGAACGGCCAAATAGCTTATTTCACGGGGAGAGCAAGTTAATTATTTGTCACCGAGAAAGCGGCTCAATTGCTCCAACTTTCCCGTCCGCCGCTCCGAGCGAATCAATGAAAACTGTTTCTCCGTCGCGGCAACGAACGTATATATGTATAGATGGATGACACGCGTACATGACGTATAATTTGGCATTTATAAACGCGTGACGTACATAGGCAAAGCAGTGGGTCGCATCGCAGAAAATAATAATGCATTTCGGAAGGAAAAAAATTGCGTGTGTTTCTCCGCGGGCGCGCTTGGTCATCGAATTTCATGAAGCTTCGAGTGTCATATCCCGTGGCGCACCGCAGCGTCGCGTAAATTTAGTTAAGAGCTCCCCGCGTGACGTTTAAAAAATCGAGCTCACGTCCCGGTGATTTACCGCTTGGGTGATGGCTGGGGGAGTATGGCCGAAAATTTCTTGCGTCGAATCGAGGAAACACGCCATTTTTCAAGCGAATCACGAGTATAGGTGGTAAACAATATGGCGTAATAATATACCGCGGTCCGAGATACATCTAGACACACGTAGACAGCTTGACGGGTATTATGAAAAAAAAAAAAAGTCCCTTTGATGGAATTAATCACGAAAACCTGCGCAAAAGAATTTATTCGCGGCATCAAAGGGCGGCCGAGTGGCTGTAAACGAGTTCTGCACTGGCAAATAAAGAGAGTGCGTATTTTCGAAACAAAGAGAACCGGGGCTCGGAGAGGAAAAAGTGACTCAATTTGACCGAGAGATGAATCGACGCGCTCGATAATATACGCGTGCGTTGCATATATGCGAGAAAAATTATTTTCTCCCCCCCCACCGCGAGCGACAAAAGTCGTTCATTTGGAGAGCAATCGAGGTTCGCGCGCCTTTGAGTGCCCCTAAATTAGAGTGGACGTCCGGCACGTGTTGGTGAAATTTTCGTAGGGGCCATCAAAAAAAACTCTTCAACTCCCATATACTCGGCGGACGAAAGTTTGGCCTCGTTCCTACACGCGGCTCGTATACTTTAAACGGCTTGGAAGCTTTTCACGGTGAGTATACCCATACCCTGCACGCAAGTCTCATTGCCGCACTCGAAAAAAAAAAAACACGCTTATTGTAATTAATCCTCGTTAAAAGGTAACATATACCTGTACGACGCGCGGTCCCGGCGACAAATTTAATTGCTTCCCCTTCCGAATCATCCGGCTCGCCGAACCAGCTTCCCGACTCGATACCATCACGGGGGGGTGAAAAACCATAGGAATGGATGCTTTTTTCTTTTCCGCGAGCGACCGGTCACCGTGGGATTTGGAATTCAAAGGGACAAGCCGGGAGTACCTTTTTTTTTTTTTTTTTTTTTTTCTTCATCCAAAAGTACACACGCGTTGGATGGGAAAAGTTGGAGGAGGAGGAAGACGTGGAGTTCGGGGGGGGGGAGAGGGTATGTCCCTCGCGTGCCTCGGAGGCTGGAAAAGAAAAAAAAAAAAAGCACACCCAGACGAGTACATCGGAGGGCGGACGGTCGGTCTACTTGACCTCCTTCAACTGCGAGCGGAGAAAAACTTGCTCGCGAATTTTCTCCCCCCCCCTTAGATAGGAAGAGGGTGTGTATGCCCCCGCGAAGAAGCGCGATTCTTTCTCGAGCACAAAGAAATCGACGAGCAACTGGAGGGAACAAGAAAAAGAGAGAGAGAGATACATATAACATTATCCCTCCGCTCTTTGGTATCTCGTAATACCTATGTACCTAATACGTCGCCCGACTTTTCTTCCTTTTTTTTTGCCGAAAATAAAAAAATAAAAAAAAATAAAAAAAGAAAACGCGTTGGCGAGGAGATGGAACGAAAAATGACACCGAAGCAGTATACAATTCATCCCACACCCCCTGCCGCTAAAAGTCGTATGTTACCCAACAGCGGTCGAGGGTACACCCGTGTACGCGCGAGAGAAGGACCGAGCGAGTGCGCGCCCTCATGTGTGTGTATTGTAAAAGAAGAGAGTAGGAGGAGGAGGAGGGGGTCCGAGAAAAAGCGAAAATAGCGATACACGCGTTATTCCCTCGGATGTACGTACATACATACATACATACATACATACATACGCATCCCCGGAGAGGAAAACACAAGAATGATCGATTCGGCCGCTCTCCCGAAAGACCGCCGCGGGGGAAAGAAAGGAAAAAGGTGAAAAAACAGAAAATCCCGCAGACACGAGTCACTAAAACCCCCCTCCTCCTCCTCCTCCTCCTCCCGCTCGATAAAAGCGATTATCTAGTTGGCTTGCTTTTTTTTTTCTTTACCACGCGCCTCGAGAGACACACCATGTACCGTATTCCCCCCCTCCTCTGCTCGGTTACCCCTTTTTACCTGTCGTACCTGCGGGTAATCAAAGGCGACTCTACTGCGGCTCTAAGTCTCGAGTGGGCGTTGATAGCCGCGGCAACGGTAGTGGCAAAAGCGGCTGGACGACGACGGAGGCTCGTTGCACCTGCAGTCGGGCCGCACTCGCGGAAAATCAACGACGGGCAGGGCTTCCTCTTTGGCCGATGGTGCATCTTGGCTGCACTTTTGCTCCTCACCATCGGTATAATAATGTATATCAACGAGCAATACGAGGAACAGGGAGGGGTTAACAAATACAAACAACAAGGATAAAATCAAGGGGGTAGAGAAACAATGGCACGCGGTTTCTGGCGCGCCGTAAAAAAGTCAGGAGTAGAGAGCATCTCTACCCCGTGTCCGCAAGTAGATCGAGTCCGCGTACGGTCGGACGCCGAGTAGTACAAGACTGATATATAATATGCGTCCGTGTATGTATGTGTATAGGTATAAAATGTAGTTACGTATATGTATGACGGCTGACGCGCTCCTCCGCCGTCGCCGCCGCCGACGACACTGCGCGTTGGTTTCTGCTGCTGGGATGCTGCGCTCTCTCCAGCCCCTCCCTTCTTGCTCCCTCTGGCCTCCCTTCCTCCAGCCTTTTCATGTATAGAAGTGTGTGTGTGTAACCACGCGCGTCTTCGTGTGCGCGCGTGACGTATGCAGGGGATTCTGCCGCCAGTCACCTGACCCACCCCGAGAGAGAGAGAGCATTGTCGCGCGCCCTGTGTGTGTGTGTAAACGGGCATGCATGCGTGCACGTCTTGCCGAAGCGGCGGGCCTTCATAGAGGGGCGTGTCGCGAGGAGAAGGGACCTAGCTTTTTCTCTCGCTTTTGCTCCGATTTCTCGAGGCGGATGTGTGCAGGTGCCTGTCTGATCGACCATCGCCGTCGTCTGGCAGGGGATGCTCCGCTCGCCAGCCTAAAGAGGGATCGATTTTCGCTCGTGCATATAGGTAAACGAGAGTAACTCCTACCCCATCCACCTCCTCTCGCGAGATGGCCAATTTGCGCGGCCCCGAAAAAAACACTGACTGTATGCTCGGCCGAGCGCTAATAAATTGTAATTCTCGCGGGTACTGCGAAAGAAGAACAAGGAGCTTTTGCATATATATATACATTTATATAGGACTCTCTCGCGGTTGCGATGCGAGTTTTAATTTCCGAGCGGTTTGCCCGTGACTTTCTCTCGGGGTGTACAATAGGGCAAAGACGAGGGGGTGCAACGCGACAAACTATATAAACGGGATAAATGTGTCGCGTCGCGGATTACGAGCTCAAGGGGGGACGTCCGTTCGCTTTGCTAAGTATGAGATGATCTAGAGCAAAAGGGGGAGGTGGGATGTACTAATTACATTTAATTCCGAGTGTTTTTCCGAGTCGCAAGCAGCTTCGAACTGCTTCCGTTTCGTTACGCAATCCCTTGACCGGTAAGATAGTGGATGTGTCTGACCGTACGTACGTACGACTACTTGTTTTTTTTTTCCCCGTCCCAAAAAAAACAACTCGCGTCGCCTCTACTTTCGGTGAGTAAAACAAGTGCAAGGTATACCTGTACGAGTGAGAAAAAAAAAGAAAAAAAAGAAAGAGACATTCCAAGGAACACGAGTGAGATAGGGGGTGGGGGTGAATTTTCCATCCCCTTCCTCCTTTGGAGAAATCGAAAATCCCTCGGGCAAACAATTTCGTGACTGCGCGAGAAAACAGAGGAGCCGGGAAACGAGAGAAAGGAGAGGTAAATAAATACTTCCAGTTTACCTATGCACTGGCGTCGTCTAGACACCATGTATGTATACGTACAGTGCACGCAATTACGGGCTTATAGTACTGCGCTCGCCACGGGGTGTTCTTGTCTTCGGCCTCCAGTTGATGATGTTTTTCTCCTCGGAGCATCTGCTTTCCCAGTTCACCGTGTTTTGATAAAACGATGATTGCAAGACACCCCCCCTTGGATTGTTCAGGAGAACCAGTGACGGATAGCGCGAGGCGGCGTGTAAACTCTTTTTTTTTTTTTTAATCCCAAAGTGGAGCGAGCAATTGGTACAGGCAAGACTCGAATATCTTGCTGGATACCGTTGTTTTTACCCTCGCGTCCAGTTTTTTTCCTCCCCAACTTTTTGCTCGTTATGCTCGGAGAAACGAGATATCATCTGTTTCTTTTTTTTTTTACTTCCACCCTCGATTCCGGAGGGATGCGGGGGATTCTTTTGAGAAATACTTTGATCCGCGTGATTATAGCGGGGAAGGAAACGTTGATTCAACGGGGGGGGGGAGGAGTACATTTAATAGGCATCTTTGGGAAAATAATGCAGAAAAGTTTGTTTTGCCGGCCGACCAGTACCCGGTACTTTCTACTAGATGATTCGAGCGTATTTCTCTGATTTGTCGATACCAAGGGCGCGCACCTATATACATCATGTAATATCAATAATGATGATCCGCACGTGCCAACGGATGCGGAAAAAATTAATTCCAGGATTTCCAAGCGCAGAGCTCGCGTTTTGACGATTTTTACATAGGGATATAATACACCGGTTTTGCAGCAGAACGAGACAAAAAGTACCGCGCGTGTGATCTCTCAGGAGGGGGAAAAAAAAAACATGATAAAGAGCGAACGTAGTTTGATCAAAAGAGAACAGTTTTTTAACGACTCGTGGCCCACATGACGAACTAAGCGCTAAGATGCGCGAGGATACAGTACGTGTCGATCATACGCGACGATATATTATATACCAGGTAGTATTTAACCTTTCCCAAGTACGTAATATCACGACCACCCTTCCCTCCCCCCTTAACTTCGTATACACCCATTGGAATTACACGCGTTAAGTCTGTACTCGAGCCCCCTGTTTTTTTTGCTCGCTCCCGCGATACAGTTACAGATGGGAGGGGGGGGGGGAGTTTACGAGGTCGTCGTATAAAGTTCGCGCGAGTTTGATCGGATGATTTCGGATAACCAGTTGCGCGATGGGTTATCGAGGAGGGCTCGTAATTGGCTGTGCCGTGTACACACTTACGCGATCGAGGGCTGGGGTAAAGTGTCTCCAAGAGCGCTTCCGACGGGTTATATATATATACACGGGCGCTCGTTACAATCGGGGGCGAAATCGTTGTTTATCGCGCCCGTTTCGTCCCTCCCCCCCTTGGACTTTGTTTGCCCATATACGTACGGAGGCGTGTAGGAGGGGTCATTAATCACCGGCGGGAAAATTGATATCCCAGTGCGCGAGTGATGAAAAAAAAAAAAAAAAAAAAGGCCAAAGTTTTTCACGCGAGTCCTCCGGTCGCCCTGGAAACTTCGAGGGGACGGGAGATGCTGGATGGTAATTAAAGATGTGCAACGCTGGGGGGGGGGGGGGAAAAGTTTAGATCCGAGCTTCTTTATTTGCTTTTAAAGACAAACGGAGCCGGGGCCGAGTGTAGTTTGACGCTTAAACTCGGAAACGCGCACTTGATTTAACTTTCGTATCGGAAAATCGTGTCGAGCATAACGCATTTCACCCCGGGACATGGAGGTTTCAAAGTGCCCCCCCCCCCCATGATTTTTTTTCTTTTTTTATCTTTATGTACGTGCACGGGAGGATTTTCATATCTCCCGTTCGAGAGGAGCTAAAGGCGTAAAACCTCTCGCGTGTATACAATATTATCTCGCGCGCGTCGAAAGAGAGCTGTTCTCGGATTTCGAAGCCGTACCTGTACGTAGAAAAATAGAGGGTCGAATGCAAAAGAGCGCAAAGTACGCGTAAAAAAAAAAAAAAAAGAGGGGCAAATAGTAAAAGGAAAACAGGTGCTCTCCATTGATCTAATAATTTTTCCAGGACGCAAAACAGATAGAAAGAGCTGAAAATGAATAAAGCTCGCTCCGTTGAAACGCGAGCGAGTATAGTAAGCTTTTGAAGCGCCGAGAGCTGCAGGCGTCGTGTTGTTTTTGCCCTTGGATCTATATCTCCCTTTTAAGCTTTTTTTGTGCGCGCCTGATGCGCACACAACAGGGGAATGCGAGTGGTACACGCGAGCCGGGTTTTTTCACTTACCACCCCTATTTTTGCTCTCTGCGTCCATCCTCCTCGTCTGAGCCCGCGTGTTTTTTTTTTTTTTTTTTTTTTTTTGCGTCGCTACGCATCCGAGTCGCCGTGGGTGTGGATAAAAAAAAAAAAAAAGAAAAACCGAGACGGTGAACGGTTCTTTTTTTTCGTTTCATCTCGGACAGCTCCTCGAGTTACTTTTGCGAGACTCGAGCGAAACCCGAGTGGAAGGGAAACATCATACGCAAAAAAGTTCGGACGATTCCCGCGGAGGAGTTTGCATTCAATTAGGTTTTTCCCCGCCCGCGTTCGGCTCCCAATTCGTCGCTCCCCGTGTGATGATGACAATGCGCGTAACAATAACCGAGTACATTCACGTATAGAAGCTGGGAAGGGTAAAACATGACGATTACGAGGACATTTCACGGGACGAGCGAAAATTACCATGAGTGTACATTGATGCAGTCGTTCGCGATTCAGTTGCCAATAATCGCTGGATCATCCAAATAATTATTCATGTTTTTTTTCTTCTTTTCAGGATGGCCCAGTCACCGTATACTTTTGTGGATGAGAATGCATAAAAATCGGTGTAAAATTGTTAGCTCGAGTCCCATCTTCTCCGAGGCCCCAAAGTGAAGTCACACCAGTGAGAGAGAGAGAGAGAGAGAGCAATTAGTTTAGTGCGCTCGGAGCTACGTGTGCAGCCCTTCAAGGGGCTCTCCCGCTCGTCAACTCGGAGGAACGACGGTAGACAGGGGTGGGAGTAGGGTGCGCGGAAATCAGAGCGGAGGGAGGCATGAAACGCACAGCGGCGATGAGAGGAAGAAGAAATCGCACGGACGTGGAAGAAAAAAAAAAAAAAAAAAAAGAATGGCCAAGCTCCTTCTCGAGAGTATAAGGTGTCGATTGCACCTCTCGGCGCGAAGCTGCTTAGTTTTCGGGAGGCCAAAGGAAATCGATCGTACAGTTCCTTTGGACTCGAGTCTTTTGGCTCTTGCGGTAATTAATAATACCCGCGGTGCCGAGATTTTAGTTTTACGAGTGGACTCGGCTCTCTATTGTTGTTGACGAGGTGAGTTTTGAACAACTCCAGACTATTTAATTTTCATCGAGATTAAAAGAATGACAAAAAAAAAAAAAAAAAAAAAAAAGCCCGGTAATTCCTTAGAGTTGGAAAGTTATTTCAAGTTCCGTGCTTGTTTTCCCGAGACCTTTGAATTTTTAATTTCGAGCCAAGCCTGGAGTTTCTTTTAAAAACCGAGTGCATTTTCGAGATTTCTTATTTCGAGGTGGAAGAGTGTAAAAACACGGGGTATTGCAAACTCAGTTGTTTTTAGTTTCCATAAATCAACACTCGAGCTGGGAGTAAACATTGCGGGGGTAAAAAAGACAGCTTTAGCACTCGTAGAACTAGTAGTGGAGACTGGAAGAAAAATAAATAAATCTGCTCTTTCGTAGGACGTAGCGGTGATGTTTATTATTTTTTTTTTCTTCTTCTTTGAATTACTGGGATAATTAAAAAGTAATGTATAAACGTTCAGTCAAATTATATAACGTAACTAAAAATGTGGCTATCTAAACTTAAAATGTAAATGAGTAAAAATCGTAACGTAACGACGTACATGATCGCGTATCTCTAACGAAAGATCAAAAAGATACAAATAAATAAAAATCCTCATGCAGTTCGTGATAGCACTAGACTACAACAATAGACGTATGCTATCTTTTGTTTCGTGTATTATTTTTTTTTGTCCATTAATTGCACAGAAAATAATTCATATATATATTTCTTTGATAATTTACACTGGCATATATACATAGTACGCAATTTATGTGCATGCTAGCGCGTGGATGCTATGTTCTATTTTTTATAAGCTCGTCAGCTCCGCTGGAAGAGAGATAAAGATTTTAGCGACATGGGCAACCGAAAATTTCTGTATTACCGACGAAAGCCACTCTGTACACCTAATAAGTCTTTTCTTTGCAATTGATCGAATACTTTCACATCTCTCGTAACAAACATTTTCTGTCAACAAAAAAACAATTCTTCTCGTTTTGTTTTTCAAATATACATAATGTGTCTCAATGACGTGCCTTACGCTCTATAGTGATATCATAGGAATGCAAACTTTGGACTAAAACGAAACACAGAAAAGTTGATCAAAGTCTCAACAACAACAACGAATCATCTTCCGCGTCGCATCAGAAATAACCGGCGGTAATCTGCCCATTTGGAGCCTATTATTCCTTCTTAACAAACGAGAGTCACACTATTTACGCGCTTCTCATTGATATATAACATTCAAAGAGCTATCTATCTATACATAGTTTATACATGTACAATATAACCATTAGTCTTAACGGAATGCAACAAAAGAGTTTCCTCTGTTTGTGTATCTTACAGTTAGGTGAGAGCAGTAGCAAGACGCGACAACAACGAACCTCGAAATCCTCGACTGGACTCATCTCCCTCTCCATCGTATAATACACTCTAGATCGCGATACTCTAAAACAAGTAACGACAACTGGCAATTAGCTAAATAGGTTCTGCTGCGACGCGTCGTTCTCGAACACGCTCCAGGCGTTGTTCAGCTCCATGAATATCAGCTTGGCTATGTTCTCGTTGGCCGTTCCGACTTGCTGCAATGAAAAAAAAAAAAAACAACGTTGCCAATTCGATGAACGATCAACAAAGTATCAAGATTGAAAGGGGAAAAAAAAAGTTCCCTCACCTTGTCCGGATGGACGGCGAGGCAGGCTTTCCTGTACGCTTTTTTGACGTCGGCGGGCGACACGAGGGCGTGCATCTCGCACTTTTGCCACTTGCAGCCTTCCCAGACGACGGTGTGCATCGAGCAGAGCAGCGCCCTGAGGTTGCTCTTCTTTCCCTCGGTCCACTCGGCGACCTTGAGCTTCTCCGGGTCCATCGTCCTGGCCGCCTCAACTTTCCGCATCTGGTTGATCGTCTTTGGACCGTCCTTATCCGCCTTGCGCGTGAACTTGTACCCCTGGCTGCCCAGCAGATCCTCGAACGCGTCGGCGGGTTTTTTCGTGGCAGACTCCTGCGTGGATGCCACTTCGTTGATCGGCGTGACGGGCTTGTGCATGCGTGGACTCGAATGCACCGGTGTACCAGCGTTCGCCGGACTGGCCGACTGGGGGGTGTTTGACTCCTTGGGAGTACCGTTCCAACTCGACGCCAGACCGGCACCCATTGCCCCCGCAAAGTTCGCAAACGGGTCAGGTCTCTGCTGGGCCTGGGACGAAAAGTTTGGAACGCTCGCGTTACGAGGAAACAGACTCTCGTCGGCATTGTTGGGTGTCGTCGCCGACTGGGGCCAGCAGCCGCTGCCGCCCAAGAGGTTGTTGTTGTCCTTGCCAGCCGAGCCGAACGGGTCGAACATCATATTCTCGCTGGTGGGTGTAGGCCTGGGTGCACTAGGATTGCTCTGGCTGTCTTGGCCGAACAACAGGTCCCCAATATCGGTAGGCTTACCGCTGCCATTCGTCTGGCCGAAGAACAGGTCACCATTGCCGTCACCTGTGGCCGGCTCGTTGACCACCGGTGTCGTCAGGGGTGCGGCTTGAGCAAAGTCCCCGAAGCCAGCCAACAAGTCGCTCGCTGTGGTAGCGCTAGCGGCAACGTTAGCAGTGGAATCCGATTGGGCCTGACTAGAGTTCGACGACGCGAATATGTCGAGATTCACCGCCGGCGCTGGAGTATTTCTCAGGTTGTTGCTGTTCGGTGAGCCGAGGTTTAGCAAGTCGGCTTCCCCGAAGGAGGAAGAGGTCTCTGGCCGAGGAGGAGCAACTGGAGCCGTAGAGTCTCTCGATGGTCTGCGCGGCAGTCTGGGCCCCTCGGACTGGTTGACTAGTGGCTCTGCTTCGCGCACCAGTGAATCCCTCCGCTTTGGTTTATTCTGAAAAAAAGATCAATTTAATGACAAAAAACATATCCCCGTGTAAGAAAAAAAAAAAAAAAAAAAAAAAAAAAAAAAAAAAGTTAAGCCCCATACGTCGGAGGGTGCGCCGTTGGTGCGGAAATTGTCGAGGGCCTCTTCCATCTCGAGCGTCGAGCCAAAGAGCGGGTCAGGCGCGAACCTAGATTGAGTCGCATCCTCGGACTCCCAGGGCGCAGGTGCCCTCGTGAACTTGGCCGAGTCCTCGCCGATCATCGCATTGACGACGACGCGAAACTTGCCACCCACCTCGGGCGTGTCGTCGAGGTCGTTCTTGTCAAAGATGAGCGTGCTGTCTGTGAGCGACACGTAGCCCGTGTGGAAGTGCAGGGCCGCTATTTTGATGCCGATCACGCGGCCGAGCTGCTGGCGCGCGTGGTACACGACCATCGTTATGTCACCGCGGACCGTGGCGTCGCCGAGGATCAGGCACACCTTGCCCTCCATCATGCCGTACAGCTTCATCTCCTCGTACTCTGCTCGCTTCGTTGAGAAGACCTGGTACAATAGATCATTGTTATTAATATTATTTACGATAACATACGCTCCAAAGGCTATTTACGCCAATTTTTCATCGTAACGTAGAAACGGGCCAATTGAAACGTAACTAGTTTATTTTCAACGCGGCAATAAATACAAACTTGGCTATTTATATACTCGATATTAATTATGTAATCGCATTTATAATAATGAAGTGGTAAAAAGAAAATTCGCACTCAGAGTAACTATGACATGCTGATCACAAACCGACTGTGGACAACGGCAGCCAAAACGGCTGCGTCGTCCGAAAATCGTCGGTCTCGGCATATAATTTATCATCATTGTGCGACACATTTCACGTACTTTCCCAATCTCGGGAAAGCTTTCTCGTTATTTTTTTGGATTAAAAAAAATCCGTTCACTACGAGAATCGAACCCCCCGCCTGCCCCTGAGCGCGAGGTAGTCGCTCTAACCACTGAGCTACAAGGTCCGATGCCCGCCGTACATCCATTAAGAAGCTATTTCACCGCAGAGAAATGTAGTTATATCTGTCCTCTTCTAGCGCACGCCGTACCCGTCGAATGACGCATACATATACACAGTCATTCCTTTTTATAATATACTACATTGCAGAATATAGAGCCCGAGCAATCCTTTCACTTCTCGGTCATCACACCGATCCAAACTCTATGATTGCGGCGATAAAAAAAGGAATGCGTCCTTGAAAGTACAAGCGAATGCATAAATAAATCAATCAACTCACCATTGCACCGTTGCTGTATATCTCGACGTAGGGTCGGCAGCCGTCGCGCGCTCGAGTGAATAGCGGCACGGGCTGGACGAGCAGCGACCTGAGTACCAGAGGCTTCATGTGGGGTAGCTCGCCGTTCACCAGCTTTGCCATGTAATCGAGTATCCTCAGCTCCGAGGGTTGCATCTGGGGTGGCTGGCAGCGCCGCGTCGTAAACATGTTGATGGCTTGCTCGGCGCTGCGCATCGCGCCACCGTACAACAATAGGGAGCATGCAACGACCGCGCTCGCTCGCAGACCGTCCTTGGGGTGGAGAAAATTTTCTTTTCAACTCGTCCTTATTCCGACATACTTGAGTGCTAGGTACTCGAAATACAAAGAGGTAAACGGTGACATACGTTGCAGTATATGACGACGATATGATGTACGTCGGCGTCGAGGAACCGGTATATGTCCTGGCAGATCTGGTAGATGGCGGAGAGCAGAGGCGCATTGGCTTCCATCGAGGCGTAGGCAAAGGAACAGTCTATGTGCCGGCCGATGAGCCTCGCGACGTTCGGCCTGCCCCTGGACAAGTTGTAGAACTGTATCTTCGTAGGTGGTGGGTGACGTGCCTGAAGGAAAGCTCGTACGTCCTCGACGTGGTTTGCCCGGTAGGCCGACTCTATCCCATCGGCTGGGTACGGCATCACCAGGACGCGTGAGGTCACGTAGCTCGCGTCTAGTTCCGTTCGGCCCATGCTCTGCTGCACCGTCTGCATCACCTTCGAGGACGTGTCTTTGATGTTGCGGAAGAGGCTACCCGCGCCTCCCTTTATGGAACTGAACAAACCTGTGGCACACATGCCATCGTTATTGGATAAAAATACGAAAAACGGTAAATTTCAATTTTGTACTACTGGGTGGGTAAATCAATGGAAAGACAAATCGAGAGCTACTCCTTTGCAAAGAGGACGTGTTTGTTTTCGTAATTCAGATCTCGTATTGCAAAAAAATAAATAAAATAAGTCCAGAATATTAATAATTTGTCAATTTCATCGTTTCCAAACATTTACTGGACAAATTATTATCTTTTTTCAACGCAGTAGAGAATTAAATTAACAAACACAAAGTAAATGTATGACAAGAGTAAACACTTTGTAATTGGATTTCAAACTGAAGCAATTAAAAATTCTTTTTAAATGAACATTCACAGCGAATCAAACATTAATTCGATTTAAATTATCTTACCAGACGTCTGGTGGCCGGGGATTTTCTGCTGGTGACCCGGCGGTAACTGCTGCTGCTGCTGAGGAGGAACTGGCCTTGGTGGCGGTTGACCAGACGGCACGGGTGGAGCAGGTCTCGGAGGAGGCGCTACAGGTGCCGCCGTCGGAGACGGGGTCGGGGGCGCGGGTCTCGTCGGTGCCAGCGTGGGTGGTGGCGGTGGCGGCGCAACGTCGATTTTCGCGGGTTCGCGCGGGTCGAAGCCATTAGATTCGGCGATCGCGGCGAGCCGCTCTAGAATTGCCGACGTCGTCAGCCGCTGGACAGGAGAGACCTGCAGGCAGCCCTTGATCAGCTCCCCGAAGCAGGAGAGCCGGGGATTCGGCGGCAGCGGTGCGTACTTTCCATTGATGATCGCCAACTTATTGCCTAGAAACGAAACGACGGTTAAAAATACGGACGTCTACGCGAATGTCTCTCAGACTTACCTTCGGGAAAGGGATGCTTGAGCGCGACGAGGGCATAGAATATACAGCCGAGCGCCCAGCAGTCGACGGGCGGGCCGATGGGCTCGTTGTTCCACGTGTCCATCATCTCGGGTGCCCTGTACATGGGGGTCGTGAACTTGGACAGGTGATCCTCTAGCTGGGCCCTCCTCTGGGCGTTCCACGAGGTATCGGGGAGAATCTGCTGGACGGTCGTGCTGCCAAAGTCGCAGAGCTTGATCAGCCCGTCGGCGCCGAGCAGGAAGTTCTCGAGCTTGATGTCCCTGTGTATCAGGGGCTGGGGCTGCTGACTGTGCATGTGGTGGACTGCCTTGGTCGCCTGGTAGGCCACTCGGCAAATCTGGGCGAGACTTAGAGTACCGTTCGCCGGGAGGCTTCTCAGCAGGTCCGCGAGAGTACCTCCGGGACACAGCTCCGAGACTAGAAGATACTCGTTGCCTCGGCCACTGGTTTCTTTGTTGTTGTTGACTTGCTGCACGCACAGGAACTGGATGATGTTCGGGTGGTTCGTCAGGGCCTTGAGGGTCGCGATTTCTTGGATAATAGTCTGTTGGGCCTGTTCATCCGCTGCAACCATTCGCTAAAAGAGATAAACATTTTGGTGAGTATTCGTTGAAATCTTACATTCGTTTAATTATATAGTATCATTTACACAAAGAGCAATCCGGTTTTTGAAATAAAAAATATTCTTTCCTTTTTTTTTCCTAAACAAGGATCAAAAAAATTTTAAGTAAATTTTACACGATATGTTCTTTAATCGATAAACTGTGCACAAATCCAAAGTCAAACCTTATTATTTTGTAGTTCAATCGTAGAGAGGTGAAACTCATCGAATCATATTTTCTTCATACAAAAAGCAAGAAAAAAAATTAAGTCGTGATGGAGTGGTTTGGGCTTTGGATTCGTACTTGGCGAGTCAAGGCCCATTCATACTACAGAATGATGCTCAAGTGACTAGTGACGTTCTTGTGTGTAATTTACTTCTTTTCTTTTTTCTCTTTTTTTTTCATGGTTTTTTATTTATAATAATGTGGTGAGAGAGTCATCATACCTTGAGTGCGTATTCCTTTCCTGTCGACACGTCTTCTACCGCAAAGACCAAGGCCCAGCCTCCTGTAAACATGATATGGTTATTTTCACTCGTGTCATTCTCTACATGTGATTATTACACATCAATTCGAGCGGTACAATGGAAAAAAAAAAAAAAAAAGAAATTGTCGATCGGGCAAAATTGGTGATTATCAATTTAACACGCCAGCATAACGCGTTTGCATAATCAACCGATAGAATAACAGCATTTGTGAAAACAATCGTGGAGGCGCCGATACACACACGCTATTAACAATTTTACGCACTTGAACTTTTAAACATTCGATATCTGTGTGTGGGTGGCTGCATGTGTCACTGCCAGCGCTGTGCTTTTATGAATTGTATTTTAACTTAATATACGCGCTCGATGGTTTGTAAAATACGAGGTGTTTTGAAAAAAAAACACGCAGCACGATAAAAGTATAATTTACATGACCAAGTAAATTATGTGTAACAAGTTCTTTTGGATGCATACTCATTCGTTAAAATATTGACTTTCGTTTTCTCAAAGAGAGGGGAGTACATTATGGGTAAATATCATTTTTTCACACTTTTTTGAGCTCAAAAGTGCACGTTTCATAATGTTAATTCTTTACGGAGTAACGCGTTATGTTTTTTTTTTTTTTAATCTTTTTTCGTTATCTTTATTTATTTTAACGCAACGGATACGTTAATGATTGATTTTTTTTTTCTTACGTAAAAGTTTCAATGAAATTTCATGACTATTGTTTGATAAGAATTAATCGTTCTTTAACTACTAAATAATAGGATATTTAATAGAAGCCGGTCAGTACAGTAGAGTATGAGTCATGCACTCTATACATTATGAATACGAAAGCTGATAAAGATTAAAAGTTTGTTTGGATTAACACACGATAACTGTGTAAAAATATTTGTGGATCAGAGATTTGAGTTAACTTTTGATCGAAACATGTACAGAAAGTCATGTCTTTTCATGGCGTAATAAATGATACACAATCGGATAACTACAAACAACAGAAAAAGTGTAAAAAAAGCTTGTAAATAAGCAAATGAGTTTCCAGTTAAAAAGTCTTCAAAAAATGATAAAAAAGTTAGAATTTTAAAAAATATTAAACAAATTTGAAAAATGGAGCGAGTGCTTGACTTTTTTTTTATTATGGCAAGGAGAAACTTTTTTCCGAAATTTCACGTGATTATATGTACATGAAATTCTAATAAGTAAGTGTACTTGAAATTCAGTGAGAGGCATTTCACGCCATCTCCAGTCAAGATTTAATTTTTTTTTTTCAACAATTTTCGAAAGTGTACCCAGTCACCGTTGCATGAAAAAAAAATGAGGAAAAAAAATTATCTCTGTGAAAGCAGATGGCTATGGCGCTCGGGGACGTTTTTTTTTTTTAATTTTATTTTATATTATACCTCACATTAATGTTCGAAAAAACCAATATGCCTTACATTTCAAGTGCACTTCGACTCCCAAGATAGACCTAGAGAGAAAAATCAATAGGTACTCGATCCACTTACATTTAGCACGAAAAATGCATTTGTGAAAATAAACGCAAATCCAACAATATTCAAACAGCCGACGTGCATGCGTGGTGGCCCATTAAAGTTTAAAGTTACAAAGCCTTGACATGATTTTTAAATTAAAGAATAATTGATGAGCTCATTGGAGTAACCAACAAGCCACCCGCAGCATCAGGCCAAGAGAAAAATTGCTTCGGCCAAACAATCAATCGAGAGCCATTAAAATCTATAATTATATTACCCACGACGTATTTTTAAGTAGGTGCATGTACACCCGTCGTGTATCAGCGAAATGACATTGACGCGTGTGCCAGGGTGTTTACATCGTGCATCGGATGAGACATTTACGTTGTACTTATCAGTTTCGTAATCTGTTAAAATTATGCGACTTTTATCACTTAAACATGCATCCCTTGCAACACGCCTAGTATAAATTATAATAAAATACACGAGTGTGTGTACAGTACAGATAAGCAGCTTCGTTTCTTCCGAGCGGAAGCATCTCCCGTTTGACATTGAAGCGAAACGCGATAGAGAGAGAGGAAAGTCCGAGAGAAGAAAAATCAATCGGTCGGGAAAAAAAAAAAAAAGAAAGGAAGGGAAGAAATAAAGGTCAATGTTGTCATCCCTTTCGGCTCTCGTGTTTACGCAGTATAGTCGGAGCGCGTGGGCAGACGACAAAATTAAATGCCACAACAAAAACATTGCTGGAGTAAAAAGAGCAGAAGACGACGAAAAGGGGCACTTTGCGATAGAAAAAAAAAAATATATATAATGTATAGAACGTACCTTCGGCGATGAGTCGAGTGACGCGGAGCTTGACGCCGCTGATCTCCAGATGTTGGCCGACGTACTCGCTGCCACCAGGAGATGTTCCTCCAGTGCCGACACCAGCAGCAGCGCCGGCCGAGGCACCGTTTAGGTAGCCGAAGGCCGACTTTATGTAGTCCGACATCCTTGGTCGTTGAGTAGGGGTCAGGTCGCGCACCGCATATGTATAACGCTACACGACACAGGTTGCACGAACCACTGCACGCACCAAGTATACGCCCTCCCGTGCCACCAACTTTTTTTTTTTTTTATTGCACTTGTACGGTACGACACTAGCGATTGGATCGTCGTCTAGGGCACACGACGACCACCAGCCTGCAGCGCGCGGCCATATTGCTCCGTTGTTGGGGGTTTTGTTGTCCTCGATATGAGCGCAGCTATATATATATATATATATATATATATATATAGCAATATATAGCAGCGCCGCTAGACACGCTTTCTGCTTTTCTGCGAATTGCGCGTGCATTGGGTGGGAGGTTTAGAAAATGTAGGCGGTTTTCGCTTCGGGATCTACTTAATCTATGCTTTTTTTTTTTTTTTTTATCAGCGCAGCTACTGATAAGCTATTTGAACTTTTTTTATTTGATCCAATAGCAACTCGATTACATATTGTATAGGTACACATACGAGTTTTTTTTTATTTTTACGGTAACTAATTGCTCACACTTTTTTTCTTTTTTTTTTTTTTTTTTAAGTTATATTATTGAATCGAAACTTGAATAGTTTTGTTTAAACAGTTAGAATTTCAAATTTTTATTACGTGTCACATAATATACACATTACACATGTGAGTATACCTATATACACTTCTACATTCACACACGACAGCATGTGTAGGTGTAGTCGTGTAGTGTCAATTTTGTGTGCATACAGGACTTTGCGCAGTAGATAGAAGAACCATGGATAATTAATTGTTTAAATAGTACTTTTAATAAATTTTCTAATAGTAGAAAGTGAATTTAAGACTGAAAAAGGTAAATCAAGCATTAATGTTCAAATACATTAACTGATATCTGTGTTATTCGTAGAATACGGAAAAGGTTATGTTTACGAAATAGTCCTAAATCCAATCATTTATTAATTTTGTTTTGAACCTTACTTCAATCCAATAATAATTCGTTAACAAAATGTAATTTTTCTGTTTTTTTGAACAAATAGTTTCGACAAACAAGCCAAAATGCCAGATGCCATTGTAAAATTTGCCAAAATTCGCTGCTCGCCAGAATCGAGTTTCTGGGCCAAATTTGCAGAGTTGAAGATAGACAAGTTTAAATTAGATGAAAAAATAAATATTCATCTATGGGGAAGCTATAACCTTGGTCCAGAAGAACGGGGAGGCAAGCCTTTGTTCCTCGATTACACATCATTCAATGAGTAAGATATTTTTTTTTTGTTTAATTTACAAAGTTTTTTTTCTTAATAATTGTACATTTACAAGTAATCAAACTTTTGAAAATCATTTTACTTGGCATAAAAATTTTTTTACTATGATTGTTTCAAGCATTGATTTTTAGTACAAAATAAAGTAAACAGCAGCAATCAAAGTCGGTACTTTGAACTTGTCTTGTTTTGTATCAAATTTTTTAATTTTTACTCACAAACAACTTTTATTAAGCGATAAAAAATTTAATATTCGATTAAAAAAATGGTAAACAAGTGCCGCAGTCTCAAAATGACCGTTCACTTACGGTCAAATAAGCACGTGCACATCATATATTTCAAGCGCGAAATACAAAATTCTAGCGCATTTTTAATATTTTTCAAAACCAATAATTAAAGTACTTAAATCAAATGTAAAATTTCACAGTGACTTGGAAACGACGACGCACAACGCGGCAGTTCCGTGCAGCGGCCTTATGGTAAACACAAATACATTCGATCTATTCAAAAACACAAATCCTCAAACTTTCATAAACACTCTGGGAAGAGAACTCATCGACTCGTTGAAAAACGGATCTGCTCTAAAAGAGCCCTGGCGACTGATGACCTTTCTCGTGTTGTCTCATGCGGATCTGAAGAAGTATCGATTTCACTATTGGGTGGCGCACCCGACACCCTTTGCCCTGCCTGAAATGCATCACGCCAAAGAACAGGTCTTTGTTAGGCAAGAGTTCACACCTGAGCAGGTACAAAGTTTCGAAGAGGGCTTTTCAAAGTTGGATGCTAAGTCACGGTGTTTCTTTTCTGTAATCGTTTCCAAAGATTCAAAATCCCTGGAGGTTGTCAGCCTTGTCAGGGGAGTCGAGATCGGTAACTCGAGCGACAAAGAGGTACATTTTTACTCGACATTATTCAGATTCAATGGATAATTAAAATCGTTTGTAGAACGAAGCGGATATTTACTTTGCGTTCTACGATCCGTGCTCGCACACAGCTCCCGGCTGGCCGCTGAGAAACTTGTTGTGCTTGCTGTTCTTCCAGTGTCCAAATGTATGTTTCGAAAAATGGATGAAGTTTATCTCGGTGAGGGGACCGAATCTGACGAATTCCGTGGTTTACACGATAAAAACCAAAGAGCAGGAGAACATGGAGGAGTTGAGGGAGTCCCTGTTGAAGGAAAATTTGATTGGTTGGGAATCCAACTCCAGAGGCAAAATGGGACCGAATATCGACGATCTGTCGGAAACGATGGACCCAATCAAGTCAGTACTCGCAACGATGGTCGAAACGAATCAGCCCCCATTATTTTGTATACCTATTACATAAAAACGTCCCATCAGATTGGCCGAGCGGGCAATCTGTCTGAATCTGAAGCTTATGAAGTGGCGACTCGTACCTGAACTGGACTTGGGCTACATCAGCGGTCTGAAATGCCTTTTGCTGGGCGCAGGGACGCTCGGTTGCTCGGTCGCCCGAGTTTTGCTCGGCTGGGGCGTCCACACGCTCACTTTTGTCGACAACTCCGTGGTCTCGCCCAGCAATACCGTCAGGCAGAACCTCTACACCCACGAGGACGCCGTAAACCGACGGCCAAAGGTTGAGGCTGCAAAGAACGCCCTGCTCAAGATCCACCCAAATCTGGTAATTTAAGCCACTCCTCGCCGCATAATATTTATAAACTCTGAAAATTTATATGACCCTACATGTCACAGAACGCTGAGGGAGTCGTGCTACAAATACCGATGCCAGGCCACGTGGTTGGCCCCAGCATGCTAGAGTCAACGAGGCAGGCAGTCGAGAAGCTCGAGAAGCTGTACGCTGAACACGACGTGGTATTTCTGCTGCTAGACTCGCGCGAGGCTCGCTGGCTGCCTACGCTAATGTGCGCGTCCAAGGGCAAGATAGCCATAAATGCTGCCCTGGGCTTCGACTCGTATACGGTACAGAGGCACGGAACGCGGGATTTGAGCCAGACGTCGTCGCCCGATATCACCCTGCAAGATCCGACGGGCAAGGATTTGGGCTGCTACTTTTGCAACGACGTTACACAGCCCGGCAACGTAAGTGGTGGTTGTTGATATTTTTACAGACCAGTGGCTAACTTTGCGCTTTTCGATTTCAGTCTCAGACCGACCGCACCTTGGACCAGCAGTGCACGGTCAGTCGGCCTGGCTTGTCATACATCGCGGCAGGCCTCGCTGTCGAGCTCTTAGTCGCGCTGACGCAACACGAGGACAGGCGAGTATAACGCTAGTGCTTGACGTGCTGGGAGGTTGTAAGTGATGGAAAAAAATTATATATATAAATCCCCTCAGAGCGGAAGCCCGTGCGCTTCTGTCAGCGTCTAAGGATTGCGGCAGCACCGGCCTGTTGGGTGGAGTGCCGCACACGATACGTGGCTCGCTTTGGAACCACGAGACCCAGCTTACGGTCACGCATAGGTTCGCCTCGTGTACTGCTTGCTCGGTACCTGTGATCGGCGAGTACCGCGCCAGAGGCTTTGACTTTGTGCTGGATGCGTGCAACAAGCCCAATTACCTGGAGAGACTCGCCGGGATCGAGGCTCTGCTCAGCAGACCCGGATTAGACGAGGTTATTTCAATTTTATAATAGCGCTTGGTTTATTGTGCCCATTACGCATTACTATTAGCATATTACGGAGTGCGGGGCTCTTTGATAGAAAAATAACACGCCATGAATCAAGTTAATTGTTTGATTGCGATACCATGAATATTAATTGTTGTTACTTGGTATTTTTCAGATGTGCTTTGCTCTCGATTCGAGTGAAGAGGACGAAAACTGAAACAATGGAAATAGAGATTGCTTAAGTCACGGAGATTAACATTTTTTATATATATATTTTTTTTTTTTTTTTTTTACTTCCCTCTATAATTGAAAGGAGATAATTCCTTACCGGTGATCCAACAGTATTGCAACAGCTGTATAGAATATGCATTCTTTTTGTATTTTTGTAAAACGTGTGAATTTTTTTTCTTCCGTGTTTTTTCTTAAGCAAACAATGCGTTTCATAGAACCCAAACTTGTTAATTCGTCGTAATCTATTATTATTCCGAGTAAGTTTTATATTACCTATATCATCGCTATTCTGTGTGCATGGATTTATCAGATGTATTCGTGTTTTCTAAGCAATTTACCCAATTCTCAAACGATAGTAATACTCCCAGTGCATTAAACGTTAAATATAAATATATATATATCTATACTCTATGATTAAGAGTAAATGTTGAAATATGCAATATAGTTCTGAAATATATTTACGTATTTAATTTTACGTTCACGATGTTTTTCTCTCAAATTCCTTGCATTTTCTTCACGTCGAAGGAGAAAAATATTTGTTTGTTTGTTTTTTGTTCGAATTACACGTTTTCGTTTCAAAATCGTTCATTAGCCAACTTTTTTTTTTTTTTTTTTTTTCACAACCAAGAACGCGCAGTGCCGAAAAATCACCGATATGAATTGAAGTTACGAAGAAGTAAGCTTTATGCATTTGTACGAGCACGTCCAGCAAAAGAAAAATACCACGGCTCGCGCATACCACTCATACAATCCTGCAACGTTGCTCCAAAATATTCATCATTCTGCTACATTTTTCCTTTTTTCTTTTATTTAAAAAAAAAAAAAACATTTTTCAATTCTCCAGTCTACAAAGCAATCCCTAAGCTCCGAGATGACATCCACTCCATCCATCTCGTGCATTATTGAGCATATCAAAACGGAGCAGCGGATAGACGTCACCCACAGCAGTCGAGCGAACAGGACGGCTACGTGCCTTTGAGCCGCGCGCGCCAGTAATCGAACGAGACGGAAAATCCATAGCCGCAGTATATATAGAGACGACGAGGGAGAGCGAAACGGAGCGAAAAGAATGCACACGTATATTTCAGTCAATACAATCCGTAGCAAGAGTTGTAGTAATGTGCTGCGTGCGAGCGAGAAAGAAGGACATGCCATCCGTCTGTGTACGAAGAATAGAGAGCGGAGAGAGAGAGAGAGAGAAAAAGCCTCCTCTCCTGTACAGAGAAAGAGAGGCAGTGTCAAAACTATATTGTGTATATATATACGCAAGCTCCCTCGCGCTCGTGGTAGTAGAGTATGCGGGGCATGCCGTTCTCTTATATATATTCTCGCCCTCGCTCCGGCTTCTGCTTATTCGCTCGCCAGTTCGCAGCAGATCGTCGCTCGTGTCGCTCGCGCGCAGATCGCCGAGCTCAACTCGGTGTATTATTGTACATATATATATATATCCTACACACGGCGAGTATAAGTATACGGCTCTCCCTCGCTCACGGCGGCACATATTGCATTCCTCCGTCTCTCTGCGTGTTCGGCGCGCATTGATCGCTCCGCTACTGCTGCTGCTCCTGCTATCTTTCCTTTATTTATGTTTGTTTTTCTTTCGCGTACCCAAGTATTTTTATTGTAGAAAAAAAAAAACACAATTTTTTTGTTTTAAATTCTCTCCCCAAATCAAGGTACAATTAAAAAAGAAAGAAAAAAAAAAAAAAATTGTTCTCCACCGGAACGTGAGGGAATACAATAGCCGGTGCCAAAAGTTTTCGGGCTATCGGAGCGGCCTGTCACCCAAGAGAAAACACGCACAACGGGGGAGATATCGAGGAAACCAAGGCGAGGAGCACGGTATCTTCGGAACGGAGGTAAGAGTTTTGCGCTGGTGGATACAACTTTTAACAGCAGATTGCGCGCTGCTCAGGAATGCGGGCGAACGCCGCTCTCGGAATTTCCGTGCTTTTTTTGTTTTGTACACTTGACAAACTTTTCTGCTCCCATTTTGCGTAAACAATGACGCTCGGGTCGTCAAACGGAGCCTCGGGATTGTTGTCGCGCATCGCGCAACTGTCAGTCGATCAGACGCGAGCAACTCACGTACACACACACGGACAGTGATACTATGATTGTTAATCAAGTAGGTGGATAGGTATTCATTCATACACGATCGCTCGAGCGCGCCTCAGCTGTGGAATGCGTTGTTGTTGCAAATTGAACGTGACGTCGACACACGTGCATTTATGTAACGCGCGCGGGCCCGATATATGTTCATTAAATTTCATTGTACAGTTGATAAACATTTGCCACTTGTGTATCCGCGTACGTACTTGCATGTACTTTTTTGTTTTTTCTCTTATCGAAACTTTATGGCTACCTGTATTGAACTTGGGAGAGAAAAAAAAGCACAACTTATCGCTCTCGGCGCTTTTTTATCGTACGTATCGTTTCCCCTTCGTTCGAGCAAACAGATAGACAAACGGGGCTCTTGCAACATCGTCCCGGCGACACCGATAACGCGTATCCCAAAAAACGTAAAAAATAAAACGAAATAAAAGCCCAAAAAAAGAAAAAAAGTTTCGATCGAGCGCTTTCATGGTAGGTATATACTTACACACATCGGGGAGAGACGCAGGCATGCGCGAGAGAGAGAGAGCGAGAAGGAGATGGAAAAGCGAAGGAATGCGCGGTGATGCTCTGGCTCCTTTCCTCCTCCGCTCTCGCGCTCCTCGACGCTGCCCCTCTCACCCGGTGCAGAGAGAGTATATAATATAGATCCGCCGCTGGGAGAAGCCTTGTGCTGGCGCGCGCTCTCGCCTCCTCCTCCTCCACCCCCTTTTTTTCACGCCACGCCGCATTCCTGTATCGATTCGCACCGGCGAGTCCGGCGACGGTGATAACTCTCCGCGAGCACTCTCCTTCCTTCCCTTCCTCGTGCCCCGCTCGGGTCTTTCTAGTAAGCGCGTGTGATATCATTCCGACGGGCTACCCCTCGATACCTATATGGATTTTACCGCGGAATGCCAACAGGCAAATCCCTCTTCGGTACAAAAAGTGCCAAAGTATATCGGTATACGATCGATGCTCCAAAATAATATCACTGGTGTATATATAAAAGCATCTCCAGTGGGGGAGTCCTTGCGGAATCCGACCAAAGGTCCCATCGTGTGTCCTAATAAGCACGCACGGGGTCGACGAGCTGACTGTTGTATATATATGTACATATATTTTTTTTTTTTTTTTATATTCATCATCGCCCCTTAAGGGCTCAGACATGGCTATTTTGACACCATAAAGTGTATTTAGCCATACGTTGGGTTTAATAACAGTAGGAGGAAACGGTAGATGGATCGGTAGGTTTATTGAAGTACAACTCCCATCCAGAAAAAAACCTCATTCAATGATGAAATTTTTGTCCAGAGTGGGATTTGAACCCCGGCCATCAAGATCTGTAGGCAGACACGCTACCGACAGAGCCATCATGTGGCTTTATGTACATATATATACGCGAGAAACGTCAAAAATGCGGTGCGCGCGCGCCGATTCATGCGGAAGGAATTTTTTCTTTCCATATCAGTCCTCCCTCGGAATTCTGTTTCCTTCGCCTCCCTCGCGCCTTTAGCGGGTATATGTATACGTTTGTAAGTATAGCGCGTACGTTCCGTCATTAGTCATGTTCGAGAAAACCAAGCGCGAAAGTGTATTTTCGGTGCCGGCTCTTTCTTTGCCATCGCGCCGTATAGTAACGCGCGTTATCGTCTTCCTCCGCGTTTTTCGCTCCCCCGTCCGGCCTTTGTTTTGCCATCATTCCGCTTGTTCCTCCTTTCGGTGTACGTGGATATGAAAGTACACCTTTTTTTTTTTGCTGGGCAATTTTGATTCGTCAACGCCTCCCTTCGTGTAATCCATATGGATAATCTCTTTTGTATACAATATATTTATACCTTTTGGATCTGAGCTCTAACTGCTTTCATTCGTATCGCTCCTTTGATACGCGCACACGCGTCAAAATTAAATGTATCATCGCAACGGGGGTGGATCTCCCTTATCATTTTTCTTTATAGATGTATTTTTTTCGACTCGCGCGCGCGTATGTATAATCACACCCGGGGTGATGTCTATGAATTGGTGTGTTTAGTTATTAGACAATATGTTCGCGCTGATTTTTTCGTAATAATGTGGTTCGCCAGGTATACCGATAACGCTTTTAATCTCGGGAGATGCGAAAATTTTCCTTATACGTGTATTTTGGAACTGAAATATGCGACGAAAGTATAAAATCGTAAATCATAGAGGTGGGCATCACCTCTCGGTTCTTTCGTCAATTGTTGTTGGAAATACCCGTACGAAACTTGATGAAACGAAAGAGAGTATGATGCATAGGGAAAAAAATTTGAAACATCGAAAGTTTTCTTTTACGAGTACAGTGTATGACTGTTGTTGCAAGAATTTCACTTTCCGCGGGACAATGTGAGTATCGGCATGCATAATTTATTATATTTATGAGCTTTCGCGTGACATTGTTTTGCACGTTCTTTTGAAATGTTTTTTCGTCGCACGTAGCTTCAGAACTGTGGGAGCGGTGTTATTTTCCTTCTCGCATTTTTTTTTTTTTTTTTTTTGAGTCAAAAAAATTTCAAATTTTCCGACACTTCCGTGTCAATTATCAAAAAGCTGCCCTAAATTTTTATCGCCGTAGGTTGTACAGTAACTTGCGATGTTCGCTTTATACACTCACACACACGTATACAAGCGTCGACTTTTTACTTGTGTGTATGGATACGCCGTACTTTCTCTGCTCGACCTTTTTCTCATCCGCTTCACGTCTAGCTTCTGCCTACTGTACTAATGTGTGTAACGTCAATCGTTAGAATTTATCAGAAATTCTCAAAAATTTACGTTATTTTCTCCGAAAACAGTCTACATAACTTAGCGATTGTTTCACAAGTTAATTAAATTAACGACACACCTAACATCAGTTGATGAGCTGAGGTTACTTTAAATGACTTCGATAACAAAATCATTAAAACTATATAAATATAATTCAATTATATGCCCCGAAAAGAACAATTTTAAGAATACACTTTTACTTTAATCCCAAATTTCCCAACAATTGATATTAACAAGTCTCGAATAAGCAATTAAAATTCCTTTCTTTCCCGCCAGGATTAGGAGTTTCAAGTTTATTGGCACAACAAAAATAATACTTTTAATAATAGTAATCAATTGAGTACGTCATGTAAGTGAGATTTAGGAAAAAATCACTATTGGATTTTCCACTTACTTTCGTTATGATCCAATGAAACCGAGATTTTTCAATCAGGACGAACGATCTCTTACCTATACTGGCGAAATATTTCATTCTCTAAGCATTTTCGTCAACAAACGCCTGCGAGCACAGAAAAAAGAAAAAATAAATACCCACGAAAACTGCCGTCTAATGGCCGGCTGCGAGCATTCCGCGGGCGTGCGTTGAAAAAGAATGCGCTAATAACGCGCTGGAAAGACTTTTCTCGAACAATGTCGGTTTTGTATCCCAACGTTTTCCGAATTCCTTGCGATAAACGTCGCGGAATCGTCAAATTATCTCGAGCCGCTGAAAATTTTTGAAATTCCGCCGTCCCCTCGCTCGCAATGTCAATAAAATTACAGAATCAGCGCCAACGCGAGCGCTCCCCGATCCTCCTTCGTATTGTTTACGGTTCTGGAGCAAAAAAGAAAAATTTCTCGAATCCCATTGATAACTAGCCAAGCCTGGATTTTTTTCGCAATTAAAACCTAATTCCTCGATCATTTTTGTACACGTGTCAAGCAATTATCTGTGTGTTCCCGCGCTTGTTAGTCCACATTTTTTTTTTTTTTTTCTTAAAGATTGATACACGTATATTGTCTTATCTTTGAAACACGTAAAGAGCTAGCTTCGACTCCAAAGTAAACATTTTTCTGAATTTTTGTTCTTCATCTCCGTCTCATACTCCTCAAAAAAAAAAAAAAAAAAAAAAAAAAAAAAATCACGAAAGAGATGAAAAATATGCTCTTTAAAACGTAAATATTGATCCATTTGGCAAAAATTCCTCGCTTTACGAGCGCTCAAGAGACTCTGATTGAAAAATTACCATCGGAGTCGACGAGGATACAAAAAATTAGTGCGCAGCATGAAATTGATGCAACCGCAATTAAGAGCTACACACGGATGTACGCGTGGTTGTTTAGATTTGCTTATAACCAGTAGCTTTGTTATTATTAAACAAAGATCTCGCAAATCGAGTGAGGATCCACAAACCCACTTGAATAGTATATACGAAGGAAAAGTATTGTTTTGGTTTTTTTTTCTTTTTGGCAGATAAGCCAAGACAATTTATCAAAATAAAATATGATTAATTTATTCATTTTATGGGCTTGCGTGATTGATAATGGGCGCCTAATTTACTTGTCAATGTTTTTTTCTTTTTCTTTTTTTTTTTTATATCATACAGTATTTCATGAATATTCCGCTCGAGCGCCGTTTCGGTCATGAATAATTCACACGCACGATTTTTGCGTCTCTATTTATTCCTTTTTATTGCATCTCTCTCTCTCTTTCTTCCAATTAAATTTTTTTGAAAATGACTGCGGAAAGTCAAACTACACAAGAGAAACAAAGAACATTTTTATTAAATATTATCAACCGAAAAGCAATATGAACTATATTTAATTCAAAGTAAACCGCATTAGATGAGTTTTAAATTATTTTTTAAAAGCTTTTTTATTGATTATCAATACTTACACCCAATACTGTACGTGCGAATTTGATAAAAACTTCTTTGTTAATCCTAATGAGCTTAATTTCGTATTAATTACACTTTCGCAAAATTCTTTCGGAAAACAAAAAAACCTAAAGACAAAAATATCATGCACATACTTTTGATGTACCTATTTCACCCCCTTTACAAAGACGCGGAAGAAAAAAAACTCGATACGCGTATAAATAAACTGAATTAAAAAAAAAAGAAGAAGAAGAAGCCCATCAACGATGGTAATAAAATCGTTCGGTCGGTGTGGAAACAAAAATTAAATCGAAGCATGAAGATTTTAACGGTAATGCCTCTCTCGCGCTGGGAAGGAGAGGCGTCGAGGAGGAGAGGAGCGCTTGTTTACGCTCCAAAAACTGATCCTGAAATTCCGATCGCATTCCACGCCGAGGCACGCATGGTGCACACAGGACTGGCACATCCGAGCTGCAAAAGTATCGAATAATAAATAATTATTGTATAATCAGCGGTGAATCGGGTTGTACGACTCCACTAAAGTTTGGCCATTGCGAACTTGGACACCATTAAAGCACCATAGCTCTAGCAATGTGCACAACCAGTTCAGTCAACACATAACATTATTGCACCGGAAAAATTAATATTGCACCCGTCAATTGAGGATCGGGATGTATGTATTTATATTTCCGCGCTACTCGCGAGCTCTTGTACATATGAAGTACATACACACAAGTATGTGTATAGCGATTGTAGGCCCACGACTCGCGCTCGAAAAGAAGGAGGAGCGAGCTGCTGAGCAGAGAGAAGGGAAGCCGGGCGTGCGCGGAAGAGGGGTTTTCACATTCCACGGACAATGTCACGTTTTTTTAATACCCCCCCCCCCTCCCTTCCCTCGTCTTCCTTCGAAGACCGCCTTTACTCTCATTCGCGCGAGTCTTTGGAGGTTTTTGCTCGCTTGTATACGTGTATATCCGTTCCTTTGCTCCTTCGCGCTTCTCCGGGAGATATATCTGCGGGCTCTACCTGGATGAATTTTTTCGAGGGTCCGTCAATAAATCGGTTGGGGGAGATGAATCGGAAATCGTTGACGTCGTCCATAAATTTCGATCTCATCGAAAGACATGAGTGTCTTAAATCTCGTAAAAATCCATGAAATCGTTAAATCATCCTGGAATTATAATTTAAGTACATACACACACCGTGAACGAATGCGTGTTTTTTCTCAACTGTTTATCAAAAAGGGAAAGTGCATTTGGTTTTTAAATGAGGATAATCTAAAATTTCGAAGTATTTGTGCATTTGTTTTTCAATTGTATTCAACCCTAAGAACGTGGTAAACAATAGTTCTACCGTTTAGTTACTTTTGTCCTTTACGTGTAAAATGGCACAAAATGGCACAATGGCTCAAGTATTTAATGTACGATTTTTTTTTTTATTTCAAATGAGATCAAAATCAATATAGAATTCACATTAAACAAGTTAACAAATCATTTATAAGGTAGGTATATATGGTCAACGAAATCATGCAGAAATCAATAAAAACTTTTGTAAAACCTGAAATCATAAACATTATACGTACCTTTGACGTACAAAAGTGTGAATAGACCCTCAAAATTTTTTCTCTCGCAAGTATTTGTGTACAATGGTGCCGGGAAAGTACATGGTCCTTTTTTTTCGTAGGAAACTGAGAGGTGTGACGGTACATTGTTAATTGATCGGAAACTCAGCGGGGCTCCCTCTGGTCTGAGGAATCCTGGTATATACAGTAAAGCATACGAACATACACTTACTCGTGTCCCCTTGGTAAAAGGCGCTCGAGAAATCGGCCCTATTTCGTTGAGAAATCGCTGCTTACCTCCTCTCTCTCTCTACTCTGGTGTCTCTTGGCGGGCTGACCCATACATGTATATCGTTTGAGAAAAATTTACGAAAAGTACGGTATACACGCGCTGAGGTTGTGTTACGATGATGTCGTAAAGCGAAAATATTTATCTCAACTGCACTCGACCCCGATTCGATCGAAATGCCACAAAGTTGTTGTGTATACTCACGGATTTCGAAAACTAACGCAAGTGGAAGGAAATTTCATACATTTTTTTTTTTTTGACACGAAAAACGCAGGGTGCAATCATATACGTATAATTATTTTTTACGGGTCGAATCGATTCCATCGGAATCCAACGTACGATTAAACCTCTGTATTTCGTAAAGTTTTCCTCACCAAAGACACCCTTACACCAGAAAAAAAAAAAAAAAGCCACGCTCAACATACCGATCTCCGAAACAATCCACCGTAAGAACGAGACCTCGTCGAATTCCTCCGCGCGCCTCCCAAACGCAAAGTTTTTATTGCAAAGCCGCCCCTCCCCAAGGAGATCACCCACCGGCTCGCCGATAAATTATTCAGGACGGCTCTCGATATTAATATTCTCCGAGCATCGATCGGTAAAGCGAACCATGTGTATACACGGAAGGCCGAAAGTGAAAAAAAAAGAAAGAAAAGAAAAATACCAACGAAATCGAAAACAACTGGGCTGTAGTTTCCACTTTTGTTTTTTCCAGGGAAAATAACCCACAGCGCGAAGTAAGGAGGGTCGACGGCAGCTGAGCCGATCGTCCATCTGCGCTTTGAGGCGCGAGACAGTTTCGGGGGTTGCAGTATCTGTAGGAGCCACGTCGTATCCCATGTAATATATAGCATAAAGTGAACACATTTACAACGGGAGGAAGGGGAGGCACGGAGAAGGAAGGACGCAACAGACGGAGTAGGATGTCCGCGGTCGAGAGTGCCCTAGACGTCCTCTCCAGGGCTGCCACGATGGTGCAAGGTGAGTTCTTATGATATACGTATACAGTCTTTTTTTTTTGTGATGACCGATGCATGTGTAGGGCATATTTTTTTCGGCTGTATGCTTTGCAAAGGTATATATGTTTGCGGAGCAAAGAACAAACTTGTACAGCGAAGAAAGAAGGAGGAAAAATATTGATACCGCGTACGTACCGTCTGCCCGCTGAAAGAGACAGGGTAAACAAAACGCAATCACGATGACACGCGTGTATTATTTCCCAACGAGTGACGCATTACGATTAACGTGCATCTCTCTATTTTTTTTTTTTTTTTTTTTTACTTCCCTCTATACTCGCTCNATATACATATGGGTAATACGTTCGAGGCGCAAAGAGAAAGGATCGATTTCGCTTCGGAAGGAGAGCGGGAGACACGGGAAGCCGCGAACTTAGATAATCTTCTTTTTTTTTTTTTTTTTTTTTTTTTTTTTGTCCTTTTGCGTAGCGTGATATATGACGAGGTACCGATTTACCTCTGATCCAAATATTTCAAGTATCAAGTATACCCATGCACGGCTAAAAATGTAAATCTGGCGCGAGCGGCGATTCATATACGTATTATTACCTACGAAGTGAGAACTCGGGCTCGACATCAATGGCGCGGATCCAACCGCATCACCACCGCCTCGATATATATATATATATATACTTGAATAGTATATACGAAGGAA